TATTACCTTTTATATAAATATCTACATTTTATTAGACATTCAAATGGTAAGCTTGATTTTCAACTTTAGAGTATATCGAATCCACAAAATAAAAGGTAATATAAAATTATAATTTTATATTAGGATAAAATCATATTTTTTAACGATTATATTAATATATATCAACGAAAAGTGGTTATGTGTTACACATGCATAAACGTCATGAGATGTAAGGGGAATATTCTAAATGTGAAGAAGTTCAAATGATTAAGTGACAAACATGAGGGGATCAAGGTATAATTTATTAATTTAATTTTAGGTGCACATTGATATAAATTTCTATCTTTTAAGGTGCAAATTGAGATTTTTTATCTTTGGGGATGCACATTAATACAAATTTCTATCTTTGAGGGTGCAAATTGAGATTTTTTATCTTTTGGGGTGCACATTGATATAAATTTCTATCTTTGAGGGTATAAATTGAGATTTTTGATCTTTGAGGGTGCAAATTGAGATTCGAACAATCTTTCGAGGTGCAAAATGAGATTAACCCATTTTTTTTTTTAGCACTACACAACTATCTGCAGAGAATCTACTGCACCTATATCAAGGACAAAACTAACCCTGAAGAGTAGAATCCCACTGAATTGCCATAACTGTAAAGGCTCGAACCCAAATATTGAAAAAAAAATTCAAATTCTTACGCAGTGGATCAACCAATCAGTGGTCACAGTTTTGGTTATGAAGCTGCCATAGGTGCCAATGGATTTTGAAAAGAGTAAATGCAGCACAAGTGAGGAGTCCAATATAGGAATACACCAAAAAAAAATGACTCTTTGTAAAGGAATTAATTTTACTGATACAGATTATGTCCTGAGAAATGGAAAAAATTATAGAAAATGTCAAAAATAATGAATGGTGTAACCTAGATTTAATTTCATCAGAATCTGAATAGAATGCTCCATGGTAGACCAAGTATAAAAAAATTAAAACGGAGTTCACAACGGAAGACTGATGGCATGCTATGCCGGGCAGGTGAGATCAAATAGATGATCAGTACAAGTCCACTGAAGGACTCTCGCCTCACCCACCCATTTGAATTATGGCATCATCCACAATGAACAGTTGCTGTTGTTGAGGTTTGAAACATAATTTAGACTCGGATCATTGCTCGAATCAAAATTACTGGATTGGAAAATTCTCCACTGTGGAATGAATGAAGTAAAACCCTGTATTCTACTCGGTGTCTCGTACGGAACCTGCTGTAGAAATTCAGTTAAAGTGAGAGTCTGCCTTGAGGAGTTTTTCTCTCGACTTTACCAAATGCTTGAGGCGGCCAGACAATGTGTGTAACCCTCCCACGAACTAAACCCAAAGGAATCTGTCAGTGACAGCACAGTCAAGTTAGGCAATGTAGAAACTTATATGGTCTGAATATTCACGACATACAGACTACAATGCAATGGAACTAAAAACATTCGATGTTACTAAATGATGCTGATAAGTGTAAACAATATCTAAGTAACATTATTGTACCGCAATTCCTAAAAGAGTAAGTACTGTCCTTTGCAGAAGATAAACGGGCAATCATGGCACTTCTAGATGATGTATCAGTTCAAAGGACCCTTTCCATCTCCTGCTTAGATAGTTTTTCCTTATTTCTGCTCAGTTCTCACAGCATTTGGAGTTCGACTTATTAATTGTCTTCCCAAGGCATTAAATGTGACTCCTACAATTTATATCAGAGCTGCAGAAGTCTTTTTTTTTTATAAGAACTGCAAGAAGTGTTTTGTTGATCTATGATTGGATAATTTATTCAAAAAACCAATGCGTGAATAAAAGATTAATGTAAATAGAAGTTACTGGCAAAATAGATTCCACACCAAGCCAAAGATCATAGAGTCTACAAGCTTTCTAACGAGTTTAAGTAAAGAGTGGCTCAGTGTGCAGAGAGCAGTTATCACCAGTTGGAACTTTCAGCCAACACTAGAGCTTGAAACATGTAAATTGCAAATTAAATAATACCAATTCTCTCTCCCCACAAATAGAAACATGGTTAACTACGGTATTATTTATAAGAATATTACCAGAAATCACAAATTCTTGGCAATCTACATGAACTATGCTATTTATGTTTTGTGAATTCTAACTTGCCTTTCACCTTCAAATACATCTAATTTCGTTTTTTTTTTAAATTCCAACTAGACTTTCTACTGATCGACCAACATCATGCCCTCTGGTACTGTGACCTCTAGATTAACAGGTTTGCAATTGGCGGTAAACATGCAGAAAGCCAGTTGAAGCACAGATCAGTATTACAGTAAAGGGTAACATACTGGGCCGAAGGATCTTGAATCCACACTAGAAACAGAATTGTCTCCCTCAACCCAACAATGCCCTTCTGGAATCTTGAGAGCATCAGAGNCAGTTGAAGCACAGATCAGTATTACAGTAAAGGGTAACATACTGGGCCGAAGGATCTTGAATCCACACTAGAAGCAGAATTGTCTCCCTCAACCCAACAATGCCCTTCTGGAATCTTGAGAGCATCAGAGGAATAAGGCATATTGATCCAGTCCCCTGGCAATGCCGTTATTCTCTTCACAATCGACTTCCTGTGATCACTTGGGGAACTGCAAAAGATGGCAATTGAAGAACAATCATAAGTATTACAATATTCGGCATCTGCAGCATGTTCTATAAGAATAATACTAAACTGATACCTAAAACACATGCAGAATTGCATCAAAATTGGTCCCATATAGATATCATTAATGTTCAATGCCTACAGTAAAATGCCTCCGCCAAGCCACCATAGGATTTTTTGTTGAAAATACTGCGTTATATTATTTCAGTTCATCAACTACTTGACAGATGAGCTTTAGAGAAAGATAGGAGGCTTACACAGATAATGCAAGTGAATACTGAAAAACATATGTCCTCGAGCATGGAGACACAGGTTATTGATGATATACGCAAAGCCCTCCATTTGAAAGGTAAGAATGCAAGACAAATGACACCAACCGGCCAGCTGCTGCAGCCAGTTGCTAATGAGTACAGTACTATACAACCAGCTGGGACTGTATTTGTTAATGTAATTATTGATAAGTGTGCCGACCTATATATTATGAGATCCACTTAGACTATACTAAATTAATTTATGCCAAAGTGCAGAAGAGAAAATTCACCAGAAAACTACTACGTCACCAGGTGAGAACTTGTACTTTTCAAGGCACCATTTCTCCACCAAAACATAGTTATCTGCAACAAAAAAAAATGATGGGTTCCACGAATTTCACAAATTAAAACAAGTTGGTCGAGCTTTATTTCACTTACCAGTCAATGATCCCATTGAAGTGCTGCCATGAGAATTGAATGTGGGAGCCATGGAAAGGCCCCGAACAGGGACGATACTGGCATAACGATCAGATATAGTAAGCCCAATGAGCCCAAATGTGAAGTACTTCTTAGCAAAATTCCAGAGAAAACTTCGAGTTCCCATCTACTATCTCCAAAAATAGATGCATGTCAGGCTAAATAAGAAGCCATCTGCACCAACATGTTGACCAAAGAAAGTGCACACACAAATTTCACCAGATGCTCTGGAAAGTAACATAGTATCGTACTAATCAAACGTTTTGAAATAATAACATTGGGTATATTCAACCAGTTGACAAAGCATAACCATCCAGTGGCAGTAGAATAATAGATAACCACTCTAAACAATAAGCATAAGCAAGTCACAGTTTTTTGCCACCACAGATGCAAGGAAGAAGACTTGTTTCAGATGGGCTAATAATCGAACTGAGCCTGTTGAGCTTGTATTTTCAAAAGAGCCTACAAAATTGTGTAAGGTCGACTAATTTAGAAAACAAATCAATCCCAAGCCGAGCCCAAAAGGAGATAACTCGGCTCGATTACCAGCCCTAGGTTCCAGTAACTAACAGCTCAGTATTCAAAAAATTATCGTACAGAGATTTGTGCTGTATAAAAGATCTTAAAACGTCATTGGCTTGTGAAAATGAAGCTAAGAAGTACGACGCAATTCCGATATTGTCTGAATTCATACCGAAAGTGAAATTTTTCATCGAATTGCAAAATTTTGGTTCAATAATTAATGAATTGAATGCAAAAAAGGTAAGGTTGTATACAAAAACAGATCAATCAGTTAAAACAATAGAGATAAAGAAACAATATGATTCTCATTGGCGGAAATTTGAGTATATATATATATATACAAGAGAAGCCTACCAGACGAGATGGAGAGGCACTTCAAGGATTGGCCGAAGAAGGAACGGGAAGAAGATAAGAGAGGGTATAGGGTTTTACCTACTGTTTGGGTCGACGGAGAACGAGCTAGAAATACTTTACGGAGATAAAAAGGGAAATCACATTTTATGCCTCAGAATTTTTATTTTGTACATACGTGACCCTATTAGAGTTATCAACATCAGCACGCGACTGAGAGGATGTGTTGTCAAAGATATGCCTCTGTTTACGATAAATGTTACATGAATTTAAAAAATAGATTTAAAAATTAGACTTAATAGTCTCAATCATTGATTTCACTGTGGATCTCAGCATTTATTGAGACTCACTACCTATTCAATTGTTGAGATTTTTAAGTCAATCTAGACTTGTATCAGGTGAAGTTTTAACATCTCTACATGAATAAAAGTATTTTCTTTCCTCCTCTGTGTGTCTCTTTTATAGAGTGGATTCAACAGACCCTTCTATTAATTTTTGTTGTTTATACCTTCAAAAAAAACATCCCATGGTAGTTGATATTATGCAATGGAACTTAATAGTATTCTCTTTCTCTACCAGCTCTTGAACCCACAATTTGGTGGTTGAAATTTGAAGTCAACAACCATCAAGTTAAAGCCACATTTTAATATTTTTAATACATTGACGATACATTTAGTAGGTAATAATAAAGTATGAGAATAAAATGACTATAACTTAGTAATATAGTTCATTTTAATGTTTGATATGTAATAATAAAAATTTATTTTCATTATCATAGAATGTTTAATCTCATAAATGTATGATTTGTCATTCTTTATAATTTGATGGTATTTTTCATTCTTATCTACATTCACTCGTCGCCGCGACCCACCATCACCCCATCTCCATTTGGGGTCGAGTTCGGGTCCAGTCCATGGATGGGTTTGGGATTTGAGTTCAAGTCCAACATCGGGTCTGGGTTCAAGTTTCGGTCCAAGGTCAAGGTTCAGGTACGGGGTCAAAGGTTTGGGCCCATGTCTGGATTGGGCTAGGGGTTGGGTCCACGTCTAGGGCTTGGGTCAGGCCCAAGGTCTAGGTTCGGATCTGAGATCGGGCCGAGAGTTTAGATTCAAGTCATGAATCTAGGGTCGAGTCGAAGTTCTGGATCTCAAGACAAGGATATCTAAGTTCGGGTCATGAATCTGAGGTTATGTTCGAGTCTACAGTCGGGTCCAAGTATTGAATTTGGGTCCGAGTCTAGGGATTATCTAAATATTTAATTGAATTTTTAATTCTAATCCGGTACTTAATCTTAATTATTATTAAATATAAAAATGATAATGTGCATTTCATTACCTTCTTATGTTCACTCCCTTCTGTTTTTATATTCATTTCATTCTTACCTTCATTCCATTCTCGTATAAAAATGATGATGCTCCATTCAAGACTAGCATAATTGTATGGGTGGATAACAGGAGCCCCGGGAATTATTGAGCTCGCTTCCTGGAGAGTTGGAGGAGCTAGCCTACAACCCTCAACTGAGCTCGAAGAACCCGCTCTGGGACGCGCAAAGGGCCTGCATATGCCCAAGAAAGAAAGCCGCGTTGCTTCAGAAATTAGAAAATTATGCACCACAATGATTAAGGAGTAATTGATTCCAGCGATCAATCAAGCCTTTACTCCTTCAGTCAAGGAGAAACGAGTTCCAACACTCCAGCAATATTCAAAAGAAGATCCCGCCAACAAGGGAAATTAATAATTGTCAATTATAAATATCAAAAGCATTTATACAGAAAAGGGCAGATTGTAACCCATTATTTCCAAGAATTAATAACAACCCCGTCCCTCGGAGCAAGAGACTCATTTCCAGTGGATTAGTTGGGCATCATTGCCGGTAAACTACTATAATCCTTGTTTTCTTTTATTCTTAGACTGCAACATCAACAAAGGGTACTACACGAACTCAGGCTTATGCTATCTTTTTGGTGTTCCTTTTAACTTGAACCAAAAGGTTCTTTATAAAATAACTAGTTATAATTTGTGTCTGAATGCATAATAAAATATAAAATTTGATCGTTTAAAAAATGAATCCTACTATACTAAATAATAATTTTTTATTTCCACTTTTATTTGATTACATCATTTAAAATTAATTTCTATCTATTATTTTTAAAAAATAACATCAAAATTTTTTCAAAATGTATAACCCGACAAAATTTTTTCAACACTTTTACATTATCATGTATGGACAATGTATGAAACAATAATTATGTTAAATTAAAATTAATCAAATATTAAATGAGCAAACACGTGATAAAATTGGGTGATGGGATAGTTTTAAGAGGGAAAATATGTGTGAGATAAAAATTTAAACTCTTAGGTGTTTTATTATATAGTTATTGTAGACACTATCTTTGTATATCTAGTTGATGTGGTACAATCAGAATTATTGAATATTTAATGAACCCTACAAAACTTACGAATATAACCGTTTATGTTAAAGTGGTACACAAAGGTAATGTATGTATACATTGTTTTTTNGAATATTTAATGAACCCTATAAAACTTACGAATATAACCGTTTATGTTAAAGTGGTACACAAAGGTAATGTATGTATACATTGTTTTTTTTTTTAATATGTATAAGGGACGGATCTGATAGTCCCATTTTAGAAGTTGTACGTATGAAATCATAGAGATTATGACACAATAAGAGAGAACTAGCAATAAACTAAATAAGATTAAAAGAAAATGGCTTATTCAAAACCACTTGTAACCCAATTTGGTATCAGAATAAACCGTCCAATCTAAATTCAATGAACAATAAGTAAAACAGTTTGCGTAATTCATACGTTAATTCAAGAGATATCATTAACCAGTATGGGTTGATAATGAAAACATTTAGCTAGCTAAGACGTGTGCTGATTACTTCATACTTACCGGGACTTCATGACAGTAATTAAGACATTCTTAGTCTCATTTTTTTTTTTAGATAAATAACATTTCTAGTTATTCAAAGAAGAATTTATCCCGGATGAATATTCTAATTTCGGCGAGAATGACCTACCGTTAATTAGACCGGGAAAGAGAATTAATCGAGGTGCATATAAACTAACCCAAACACCCCTAACTGTTTGAACAAAAAAAAAAAAATCTGGTTATGAACTTGATCACTAAATTCTTTGGGAGAGTTGATGTATGGGTTTTTCTGATACATCTTCTGAAAAACGCAAATTAAATAATTCATACTGGCTTCATTATAGCAGAATTAACTGACAATAAAAGGCAATATAGCATTCTGCTTAAACAGTTGAATGTTACAATTTTTACAAGATGGGAACAAGAAGGATGGATTATGGTTCTTACATATTAGGAAAAATGTCCTCAATCAGCAGAGGACAGAGAATGGACAAGGAGGAGCTCAAGAGAAGAAGACATTGTCAACAATGGTTGTGTGAAGTGGATCACTCAAATGTGTAGCCCAGTTGTTGAGAGGGCCTTTCCCAGTGACCGCGGCTTGGACAGCAAAGCCAAGGAAGGCAACCATGGCGAGGCGGGCGTGCTTGATCTCAGCAAGTTGAAGGGTGGCCTTCTTCTCGGGGTCGGTTGCCAAGCCGAGGGGGTCGAAGAATTTTCCACCAGGGTACAGTCTCTTCTCTGGGTCAAGCTCTGCATTCCTTTGGAACTCAATATAGCCAATGACCAACACTTCGATCCATATCAATGTTGTAATGGAGAATGGCAGTGGTTGGCCAAGGTAAGATGATCCATCAACCAATTCAACCTGATAAATTAAAAGTCCGTTGTGTTATTTCAACTCAATAATTCATTGCTATCAAACATCAATTGAAATTACTGCTGGAAACATAGAAATGCTTTAGGCCTGGGTCCTCAGCATCCCAATTCTCCCACAACCATGGCCAGATCCAGAATTGGGTCAGGGGTATCCAGGTCAGCTTACGTATACTTCGACTAATCATCTACTTGCTCCGGTCAAAAATAGGTCATCCTCGCCAAAACTATAATATTTATGAAAATAAATCCCTTATGACCTGACCCTAAGGAAATACCATGATTCAATCACATAACATCTAAGTTTATATATTATCCCTATTATTTCTTGAATTACTACCGTTAAGAATAATCCCGAAAGTTGGTATATGGAAACAAAGTATATTTGGCGATAATCCCAAAAGTTGGTATATGGAAACAAACTATATTTCGGAAGGTCAGCCTTCTGAAACTAGTGAGACAAGCCTGTATAGTTGAATATGTATAACCAATAGTAATTAAGAGGGATTTTTCAAATTGGAAAGAGAGGAGAGGGGGTGTTAATCAAGGTGATCTTGTCAAGCTTGATCATGCTCAAACTCAACTCAGTTGTGGCTTTTGGAGTTTACACTTGACTCAAACTCAAGTATCAAGCTTAAATTATCACTCAAACTTGGCTAGTAAAATTTCGCGAGAATTCGTGCAAAACTCGAGTCCAATTAAAATTTAATATTTAGACATAAAACAATCATTTCTTTTCAAGAATCTCTAAAAATTTGAGCAGAAATAGAGAACTGTATATGACATGAACCAATCTATAGACTATTTGACTATAAAAGTAGAATTTTTTGTACACATAACCAATTTGAGCCGAGTTGACCTGATCCTACTCAAACCAAGCCTCGTGTCGATCAGATTTGACTATAAGATTACCCATATTTTGCAATTTGACCAATCTTGTTGCAAGTAGCTCATATAAATTTTTTAATAAATGCCCTTACACAGATGTAATTGAGTGAGATACCATCCTATACTGACTTACCCCCCCCCCCAACCCTGCAGGTCTTTAAAGAAACACACAAGCATGGCCACAAAATCAAAACTTCCACATAGAGGCATCGTTATAACTTATCTCTAGTTCCAATCATTGAGGAAAAAATCACAATAACAACCATAATTTCATGTTTTAACAGTTTTATAGAGAAACTGATTCAGATCCTCTACAGTTAATTTTTTAACAGCAGGAGTGTTATCCTACAAAACAATCCTGTTTTCCACAAAAATGACATCATTTTATTAACTGAAACAACATTATTTTAATGTGAGACGAACTCGTTTTGAGCAACACCACTAGGAAACAAAGCTTTGGATAATCATACAAAAAAAAAAAACTTTTCTAAAGCTGAAAAAAATTAGTTACATCTAGTGGAAGTGGTAGTGGTAGGGCATTACCTTTCCAGCGTCCTGCCATGTGACACCAGTGAGCCACTCAACAGTCAAAGCACCAAGAGTAGCCAACATAGCCCACCTCCCATGAATCAGCTCACACTCTCGGAACCTCTGCAGCCCAAAGACCTCCGTATATGGCTGAAACGGCGTCGACTTCACCTCCGAACCTTCAAACCTGGTTCCAATGATGTCACCCGCCAAGTTCTTCGCCAAGTTCTGGTCCAAGGAGTCCAAATCGTACTGCAAGTACTCTGCTGGCTTGCCAAGCCCAAATGGGTCGAACCCATAATCTCCGACCAGACTTCCGTCGAGCCACTCCGGTGCTTTGGCTCCTGGGTACCAAAGTGGACGGTCAGAGGTCGGCCTTGAGGACTTTTTTTTGGGTGGTGCTTTCTTGCCGAATCCGAATCGGGCTTGAACTCGGGCCGAGTTGGAGGGTACATCTGGGAGGCGTGTTCCAATGAATGAGGATGTGGCTGCGGCTGCCGGGGTGGTGGCCATGGCGGTGGTGGGGCTAACGTGCACTGAGGAATGTGGAGGGTGTGAGTGTGGAGAGTGTGGCATGGTGTTTTGGTTGGGTTATAGAGGTATTTCACAGATTTTTGTGGGGTTGAGAGGATTATCTGAGGAGGCGATTTTTGGCCGTTGGATTAGGGAGTGAACCCATCTGACGGGTGTGAGAGTCTAGGCCTTATCTTTGCCTTATCTGGTTGTGGACATTGGTTGATTTTAACTGGTTAATGGTTTTGTGGTTGACAAGCAATACTGGCGGAGACCAGAGGGAGAATATCTTTCTCTCTCTTCGGTGACCATAATAGGTGGAGAAAATTTTCATCGCAACAATAACGCCATGTCATCGTCGCCGTATTACCAGACTTCATTCATAAATATCTATCAATTAATATTTTTACACAAANAACATACTAACTTCATTCATAAATATCTATCAATTAATATTTTTACACAAAAATTAAAAAAATTATTAATTAACTCTAATATGAGTAAAAAATAATTACACAAGATTAAAATATTCTTATTTAATACGTATTGGAAAGAAAAAAAATGTGAAAAATAATTAACCTATACTTAATCTATTAAGCACTTATTAAAAAATAGAGATAAAGATAAATTTAGAAAAAAAAATATTAATTATACTTTGGTTTCATAAAACGACAGATATTATGGAACAAAAAAAATTATATAAAACGATAGATATTTAGGAACGGAGAGAGTAACAAATAAGAAATATGAATCCCATTAATTCTATGTATTACTAATTGAATGTGATAGTTATTGATAATTATAAAAATAGTAAAATTCACTTTTCTTATTTTTAATTTTTTAATTAGACGGTAACACCACATAATAGTGATGATGTGGCATCACCGTTGTATTGAATATTTACTCATAATAGGTGGTAGATTGGCCTGAAATATTTATTTTAACGATAATATCATATCATCAATAATATGTAATATTATTAACGAATAAGAATAAATTATGTAGAATAAATGAACCTCATTATTTTAAGTTGTCAGAACATCTCTAGCAGACTGTGTAAAATTTTAAAATAATTAAAATTTAATTAATCAGTGATAAAAATCATGTTTCAACAAAATATATTGAAATGATCTAAAATAATTTTTTATTATAATATACTCTAAATATAAAGTATCACGGTAACAAATAGTATAAATATTTTATAATTTTTTTCTCACTTTCTGTTTTTTTTCACCTCTTTTGTCTACTCCGGCTTTCTTTCCATTCTCTCTCTCCCTCTAATAGTTCCAACAAATGTGTAAAATATGTAAAATAATATTTAAAAGAAATAATTAAAATATAAAAAAAATCTGTTAAAGTGTGTATTAAAAAAGTGAATAACTAAAATAAAAAAAAAATTACTTTTAGATGGTTAAAAAACAAAATTTTATCAGAGATGTTGTTAGTCAGTTAACAGGATAATTATTAAATAGAAATATTAAAATTCACTTATTTTATATAATGTATCTTTATTAGTGGGTGATGATTTTTTATTTTTTTTTTTGGTGGGATGACAGCAGTTGCACAGAATTTCATAGTTCTGAGGTTAAGTAATGACACTAGTAAGACAAAAGGCCAGTGACCCGGCTCCAGCATCTTTTACTGGGGTTAAATTAATTTACACCATTAAGTTTTAGTAAAATAACATTATAATGGTGTGCTTGTTTTTGGTATTAGGAAAGAGAGATTAGAAAAAATATATCAAAGTCTATTTTATCTCACTTATACTTATATTTAGATACATATTTTAGGTTTGGTATTATCAGTTAAAAATACATCCGACCCGAATGAATAGTATTTGTAAACCCACATATAACCTCTTAAATAAACTTACCTATTTGGTAGGTTTAAATACTTCGGTTGGAAAGTATTTTTACAAAATATATTTTTATCCTCAAAAATATTTAAAATATAAATATCACTGTTTATCTTAAAGGTTCTTTAATAATTTAATATTTATATCATCATTCAATACTCTATCCAAATAAAGTATTAGATATGATAAAACATGAGATCCACCACTTCATAATATTTGAACCAAATATGGGATGAAGAGNGTTTGTTTTAGGTATCAGGAAAGAGAGATTAGAAAAAATATATCAAAGTCTATTTTATCCCACTTATACTTATATTTAGATACATATTTTACGTTTGGTATTATCACTTAAAAATACATCCGACCCGAATGAATAGTATTTGTAAACCCACATATAACCTCTTAAATAAACTTACCTATTTGGTAGGTTTAAATACTTCGGTTGGAAAGTATTTTTACAAAATATATTTTTATCCTCAAAAATATTTAAAATATAAATATCACTGTTTATCTTAAAGGTTCTTTAATAATTTAATATTTATATCATCATTCAATACTCTATCCAAATAAAGTATTAGATATGATAAAACATGAGATCCACCACTTCATAATATTTGAACCAAATTGGGATGAAGAGACATTATTACTATAATTAGTTCAAAAGTTGGATGGATGAATACGAGGTGAATAGAATTCAGTTGTTTAGACAAATCGTATTCAAGTCTCTGGTGTACATTTAAATTTCCACTGAAACGCAAGTCTTGATTTAATCTGGTTCATGCACATGAAATTTGTTGTCGGTTCTATTTGGACTTATAAACCTAAGCGATATGAGCGTGTCTCTAATTACCAGAGATTGAACATGAATTTTCCCAATTANTAGATATGATAAAACATGAGATCCACCACTTCATAATATTTGAACCAAATATGGGATGAAGAGACATTATTACTATAATTAGTTCAAAAGCTGGATGGATGAATACGAGGTGAATAGAATTCAGTTGCTTAGACAAATCGTATTCAAGTCTCTGGTGTACATTTAAATTTCCACTGAAACGCAAGTCTTGATTTAATTTGGTTCATGCACATGAAATTTGTCGTCGGGTCTATTTGGACTTATAAACAAAAGCGATATGAGCGTGTCTCTAATTACCAGAGATTGAACATGAATTTTCCCAATTACCCAAAAAAATAAATGACACAATAACCTTATAACTTTATAAAAATAACAAGATAATCTACTTAAATATTTGTAAGTTTTAACAAAAGGACCTCCTCAAACATTAGTAAAATTTAAAATAAATTAAAATAATGATAATATGATCCAAAACTAATTGTCAATTATTTTTTTCAACAAATATTTTTGTTGTATTTATTATATCTTTATTTATATACACAATTGTTTATATATTATTCAAGTTCAATTATTTTACTAAAAAAATGCAAACTCAATTTTGTTAAAATGAATCACTTTGTTGCTTTTTTATTTAGGTGAGAATGCAATATATTTTTAAGTAAGAATATGAACATCATTCAAGATGCAAAATATCATTTGCTCTAATNGCAAACTCAATTTTGTTAAAATGAATCACTTTGTTGCTTTTTTATTTAGGTGAGAATGCAATATAAGAATTTTAATTTTTAAGTAAGAATATGAACATCATTCAAGATGCAAAATATCATTTGCTCTAATAGTATTATAGAAATAACTTAAAAATATTTTCGATAATGTCTTTTTGCATAAAATAAGTTTTTATGCAAATAATATTACATTAAAAAAATATAATAACCAAGTGAATTCGTTTTCAAGTTAAGACCAAAGGTTTTTCTACACATCACTACCATAAAATAAAAACTTAATTAAATATTAAACGAGGTCTTACGTGAAGAAAGAGGCTAAGGAATTAAAATTTTATCTATGGAAACTAAGGGAAAAAATCTGCAAATGAAGTTCCCATCCTCGCTAACGAGAAAAAAATAGTGTGTATTATTGCTACTATGCCATTATTATTACACATAATGTCACTATTACACTCAATATTTACTCTGTTAACAAAGTCATTGGCATGGTGAGTCCAACACGTGTCAACTTACTAAACAACCCACAAAATATATCTCGTGTTTTTTTGTATTGCGAAGAAGTGTCTGTGCCAATTTATAAGCACTTCGATTAATTTTTTTTTTCTCGATCTAGTTAAATATGAATTATTCACGTCAAGAGTAAAAAATTTATGATTGATAAATCTGTCGTTACTTAAATCCAAAATAANTGTCAACTTACTAAACAACCCACAAAATATATCTCTTGTGTTTTTTTGTATTGCGAAGAAGTGTCTGTACCAATTTATAAACACTTCGATTAATTTTTTTTTCTCGATCTAGTTAAATATAAATTATTTATGTCAAGAGTAAAAAATTTATGATTGATAAATCTGTCGTTACTTAAATCCAAAATAAGTGCATTGCATGCATGCAACAACTCAGAATGCCAATAGTTAATGCTTAATCAGGTATTAATTGTGATATCAAAATGTTACGTGAATTTAATTTATTGACTTAATTATTTATAACCATTAAATTGACTATGAGTTTCAGTAATTTTTAAAATTTGCAATCAATTCAATGGTTGTGGCGAATTAAAAAAGGATGCAACTTAGACGGGTTGGACTGGTTGGAGAATCAATTCAGGTCGAACCCGAGTTACAAAACTTTCAACTCTAATCCAACCCGAGCTCGACTTCTAACTTGAGGTACTCAACCCAAGTATTTGCCCAATTTAATTTTCAAGCTCAATTTAGGTTGATTCGGGTTAATTAATTTGAACTTAAATTGGGTTTGTAATTTGGGTTTAATTTCGAGCTTAATTTCAAACATGACACAATAATTTGATCAATTTAAACTCAAAATAAATCCAATAAAAATAAAAAATACACTTNAATTTGAACTTAAATTGGATTTGTAATTTGGGTTTAATTTCGAGCTTAATTTCAAACATGACACAATAATTTGATCAATTTAAACTCAAAATAAATCCAATAAAAATAAAAAATACACTTAATTTTTTTTGTTTGTGTGTGTGTATATATATATATATATATATATATATATCAGGTTGAGCCTGATTTTAGTAATTCAGGATGATCTCGGGAACTCGAAATCTCAATCCAAATATGACCCAAATTTAATTTGAATTATAAATTTCCAGCCTACAACCAACTAAAGTTTTTTAAAATTTTCAACTCAAGCCATATATTTATCAAGTTGGACTCGAGTTTAATTCGGGTTAACCCGTCCTAGTTACACCCTGGAATTAGGTAAGCAAATTTTGCGATCAGATTAGGTTTACCTTAATTCATTTTTCTAATATAGAAGAAACCGGTTATAGCCAGTAACATCGGTTGTTCCTTCTGCTGAGCTGAGCCATTGTGTGACGGCAAAGGCATAAAGGTTTACCGACTGGTCCGGTAACTAAATCGAGTTCACTTCTTTCTCATCGGTCGTACCCTTTCAACTTTCTCTCTACGCTATTTTTCTTTCAAGGTCGCTTGATTTTTCTGCTTCGTCTCTCAGCGATAGCCGATCGCTTCTCCTTCTTCAAGGTATACTTCATATAGATCATTCTATGTCTCCTTATCATTCAGATGTGAACATATGTCATATATAGAGGTTGTTTTGATACATATATATCTGTATATTTGAGTAATTGATTAATTGTTATATGTATTTTAGCTGGAATTGTGTTCTTGTGCTGCTTGAATTTCTGTAACTTGGTGTTTATTAGCATATTATTCTATGAGAGTAATGGTTTGCAAAAAGAATTTATTGTTTTAGCTTCAGTTTGTAGTTAATTATGATTTTGTCTTTTACGATTATGCTGAAGTAACTACAAAATTTTTGCGTCAAATGCTAGGATCTGTTTCCATGAGGTCAATATTATATTGTTATTTATAGCGTGTTGACTTGTATTGCAAAATTCGAGTTTCTCATTAGGCTTAGTGTTTTTTTTTTTCGATTTACTTTGGTTCATGTTGTGTTACGTATATCTCAGAGTTTTGAATGAACTATGGGGATGATTGTGAGCTGAATATTGTTTTGGAGTTGGTTATTTGATTGATTGATTGGTGTGTTTTAATATGAATCATTGGTTATTTTTAGGCATTTTACTTGTAACAATGAAGGGTACCAAAGGTAAGGGGCCAATGAAGAAGGACACAAAGGAAGCATTGAAGCCAGTTGATGACAGGTTACATATAATTTCCATTGTGTTGGTAGTATTTTGAGTGTACATAAACTTGAATGCCTTTGGGTTGGTGCATGAAATTAGCTAGTTTAAATATTGTGATCAATGAGTTATTTTGATTTCTGATTTTTATATTTATTTGGTGATGGATACAGTGGCAACAGGAATATTATAGTGATGGATCATATGTATATCTCTTCTTTTCAGAAAAGTTGGTAAGAGGAAGGCTGCGGCCAAGCCAGATAGGAGTAGCAAAAGGCCAACTAAGAATGAAAAATCGGCCAAAAAGGACCCTAACAAACCCAAGAGGCCTCCCAGTGCTTTTTTTGTGTTCCTGTATGCATCAATCCTATTTCCATCTTTCTTTTGAATCAGAGGTACTTTTGTGTGTTGCAAACATAAATTGAGGATGACAATGATTTGACCTTCATATTGAAATTGCAGTGAGGAGTTTAGAAAGCAATTCAAAAAGGAAAATCCTAATGTGAAGGCTGTCTCTGCTGTAAGTAATTGATGGGTATTGGTTTGTAGTCTTCTATTATTGACTTTGTGTCATTGATACAATCAATTTTTTTGGGGTACTGAATTAGTTTGCTCTCTAAATGCTGCATTTGAAGGTTGGGAAAGCTGGTGGAGAGAAGTGGAAGTCCTTGACTGCAGCTGTAAGCAACCATAGATGTTGAGCAGCCTTATGAATCTTTCTTTGACACAGTTTCAGTAGATTCTGTTTGTATACGTGGTACTTCTGTTGGACTATGTGATTGACTAAAGGCACATATGACCGAATTGTAAACCTGGCTTTGGCATTTGTCATTTAAGTACAAGTTACGTTCAGTCAGTACTGATAAGTAATCAAGGTAACTCAAAGTAATCAAGGTAACTCATTAATCCGGGGATTGAAAGATTTGTCGTCTTCGAGCTATAAGACAATGCTATTGAGGGAACCATAATTGTGGTGTTTTGGCTGATCTGATGTGGTCTATATTGTTTGGGCAGGAAAAAGCTCCATACGAAGCCAAAGCTGCAAAAAAGAAGACCGAGTATGAAAAGATTATGAATGCTTACAACAAGAAGCAGGTGAACTATTAGCAGGTTTATTTATCATCATTGAAGTACTACTTGTTGGATGGTTTGGTTATACGTACATTGTTTTTTGTTTAACTAATAGGAAAGTGCGGTCGACGATGCTGATGAGGAATCTGACAGGTCAAAATCCGAAATTAATGATGAAGATGAGGAAAGTGGACAGGTATTACTGCCACCAGTTTTTAATATTTGGCAGGGTGTATTATATTTTATTCATGTGATTGAACGTGATTATGAGAGCCTAAGGAATTATTTTAAGAGAGTCGATATAAGATCCTAATTTGTAAGTATGTTTGGGACTCATTGAGCAGTTTTCAAAGTCTTTTCGTTCCTTTTTAGTGAATTGGTTTCATGAGTGTTTTTCTTCCTTTTTCTTTCTCTAAAAGGTTTCAAACATCTTGAATGAGAGAATGTTACACGTCCCAAGTGTTGCCAATTATGACAAATGCATAGTAGAGAGAGACTTCCTTACATTTTCTAGAGGGATTTCCCTATTGGGTAATGGCTTTGTGAACCCTTAAAATTGGGAATTTCCATGACTAAGGAGGCCTTGGCATGAGATGCTGTTGAATCATGATCTGGCTCTCGCAATCAAACAAGTTAGGTTTAAGTTATAGAATTTTCCTTGTACAAAATGTGCTGTTTAATTTTTCTCTTTATTGGGAATTGTATTGTTCCTCAACCAACTAATTTATATCTTCTCCCCTATCTTCTTTCTTTTGCCTGATAATAATCTAAATGGATTTCTTTTCCAGGAAGAGGAGGAAGAAGATGATGACGATGATGAAGATGATGATTGAACTTGGATGCTTTCTGACTGAGACCTTTTCCAAGGAAATGTGCTTGATATCGTATGTTCAAATTCCTAGGCTGCACTGTTGGTATATTGGTGAAAATGAACATGTTTCTTAAGACATTGCTGTATTATCATGTTAGATCACTGACGTTGGTGCCAACTTGGCCTTGTGTGACGGTTTAAGCATATCAGTCTCTCATTTTCTTAATTAAACATCAATGTGTGTATACATTAAAAGTGTTCTCATTTTCATGTTTCTTCCATTAGAGTTTTTTATTGCAGCTTTTGAAGAATGTCATTCATCTTCTATTGAGCTGTGTAACCCAGTGGTTAAACTTGGACACAGTTTTTGTAGGAAGAGTATGACGCTATTTTAAACCGGTGTGGCTGTGTTATTGTTGGATGGTAGGGTTATGAAATGATTGAACTTAAGCAAGGAAACACTACCACCATTGCTGTGGCAATGATAGTACTATAAACGCTGAATTTCAATGTTCGATACAGATTATCATTGGGTAGGAGGCTGACAATTGTTATTACATTGTCAATTGATACAGGAAGAAACATGGGGGATTTTAACTTTGTAGAAAATCTTGTTAATGAACCATGATGGCACCAAGGACATGAGATTGACACGTAACTTGAAGCTTCGGAATAAACATTGGGACTTTGATTTACAGTATACCAGTGGGCACCCCATGATCGCACAAAATTTATTCTCTCTTTCTATTATCATAATCTTATGACCAAATCCTCCATAACATAATATCACTGAACAATTCCTATTAGTGTTAAAATAATATTTATTTGTACTTTTAAATAATTAAAAAAAATAAAAATAAAAATTTTGAAGTAGTTAAAAAAAATTATAGAAGTGATTACAAATGACACAATGTTTTGATTTGAGTTAACTAATTAAATATTTTAAAATTCTAATAATTTAACAATTAGGGAGACACCTTCTCAGAGCCTCTCATCCGCAATTTGATTGTTTTATAATATAATAAGATAGGGGCTTATATACCCTTTAAGGGTCAACCATCCTTATTCCTTAAAGGACATGTCCTTAAACTAATTCAAATTGTAGTAACTGACTCAAAACTTGAGTAGTCGGCGCAAATTTGGACATCTTGTAACCAAAAATAAANATCCTTATTCCTTATAGGACATGTCCTTAAACTAATTCAAATTGTAGTAACTGACTCAAAACTTGAGTAGTCGGCGCAAATTTGGACATCTTGTAACCAAAAATAAAAAAATACTTCCACACACATGCTACTTGAACTTTATACTTCTACTCACTCTTTGTTTAGAGACAAATTTTTGAAAAATACACCCTTCATTAATGAGGGTATAAGCGTAATCTCAAAAACTAATAGATTATCCTGTATTTTCATTTTGTAACTGTACAGGAATTATTTTACGAGAATATAGGACGTTAATTACCAGAAAAATGGGGATACCACAAGTTGAATTGAACTACTTATTAAAAATAAGAAAATAAAATAGGAAAAATACTACCTTACAAATGCGCCAGCGCCAGCATTACCGATTGTGTTATTCTTCAAAAGGCTGACTTGTCTAACATTTCAGGGTGTTCCTCTCTCCCCCAGCAACCTCCAGGTTGCGGCAAATAGACTTCATTGGCATCCCGTGACCAAATGGACACCCACGCGTTGCATTTTTTGCTAAGACAAAATTGGCTCATCAAAGAATGGAACTGAAAATTTCCTCACTAGAACAGCAGGATCCTGTTTCGAGCACTTGGGTAGTTCAATNTTGCTAAGACAAAACTGGCTCATCAAAGAATGGAACTGAAAATTTCCTCACTAGAACAGCAGACCACCAACTGCAGGATCCTGTTTCGAGCACTTGGGTAGTTCAATGAACCAAATTCCAAGGCCAAAAGGAGGGTAGCTGGATATATTACCAAAGACATAATAATCAAAAGGCAAAACCTTTAGACAGCACCGAATTCTTCAATTGTAATTTCCTTGGGCACCTTCAGATTTATTTGATTTGTATCCCATCCAGCTGCCTCCAGTTGTTGCAAGAAATTCTCAAACCTGTTCTCCAATTCAATTAAGCTTTGCTCTAGTTGATCATCAATGTTATCTACACCGGCCCAATTATAATGGAGCCAGTAAGTCTGCCATAAACTTCGCAGCACCGATAGACTTGTAGCTCCTTTCTGTTGTAAAAGTTCAAGTTTGAAGTCAAACTCCAAAGAGACTAGTCTAACCCAAATTCACTTAAGTAGAGTAAATAAAATACCTTGAAGGAAACAAGAACCTCGAAATCTCTTGATTGACACTGGTTCACCACAAGAACATATTTCTCCTTTGCATAGAGTTTGAGAAAATTCCTAATCTGTTCAAAGCAAAACACATAAGAAGTCCAGCTTCAACTTTTCAAAGACTACATTCCTCAGTGCATGTGGTATCCTTTGGATGAATCAAATAATTTAATGCATTCATTATTTTGTTGTACTGATTAGGAAGTTGCATTTTCTTAATGAGATCTGATTCTCACTTGCATAAGCTTCCTGTCATAACTGATCTCACATGAAAATATTAATAGATGATAAACAGACTGCACAAGCGAAGCAAAGGTCCAGAGTTTTCAACAACAGCGTTGGGATTATAAGATCATTTTTATGATGTTTATATTCCATTAAGCAGCCAACTCTGTAGGCCACTTGTACAATTTTATGATATTATGGAAGTGACAACTTTAGACTGACAACACAATTCATTTCACTTNTATGATGTTTATATTCCATTAAGCAGCCAACTCTGTAGGCCACTTTTACAGTTTTATGATATTATGGAAGTGACAACTTTAGACTGACAACACAATTCATTTCACTTCTTACAGTGTCAAGAAGTTCATTCAAGCAAAGCTGAAAGTTATTTCTGATAGAATTTCATTGTTTTAAGTGAATAAGAAATTAAGATGTTTCAATCTCGATTAGAAAGAAAAAACTGCTTAAGAGCTTAAATGGAGGCAGTACCATGGAGCCGGATCTTTCACCACCAACCATTTCTTCCAAAGATACACCAAATATGATTCGTGGTCTTAAAAACCTTTGCCACAATAGAATATTTTCCATCCTATTGCAGTCCCTACATCCTAATCAAACACATTGAATAAAAGAGTTATTCTCATCAGATTAATTGCTAAATTGAATCATGAACCAAGCATTAAACTTACCTGGAATCGAAGAATGTAAAACATGCGATTTTACGAGTACACGAGCACGCTTGAGATTTATCTGTCATGAAATTAAGAGTTAAGGACCTAAATCACACCCCCAATCAAAAGATTCACATAAATTGCAGCTTGGGATCTGTTTCTTTTACTTTCTGTATGTTAACCCCCAGCATATTTTTTGGCAGAACTAACCCAGTAGGATAAAAATGATTTTTCGGTAGAACAACTAAAACATGATTGCAAATTTCATCGAACCATGTTAAACAGCTGAAATTCAGATTTGGATTGGATCTAAACACCTAAATTGGATAAAAACACGAGGAAAAAAGATGGCTGCGAAATCAGAATTTTGAGCTAAATTTAGTTTGGGCTAATCTCAACTTACATCCCAAAAGATCGCTCCAATCTCAATTTACATCCTTAAAGTTTTAAAAAATCAATTTACACCCTAAAAGACATAAATTTGTATCAATGTGCACCCGGGTAAACTGCCATCCATTNAGATCGCTCCAATCTCAATTTACATCCTTAAAGTTTAAAAAAATCAATTTTCACCCTAAAAGACATAAATTTGTATCAATGTGCACCCGGGTAAACTGCCATCCATTTTACCATTAAAAAAGTTTGGGATAATTATTAATTGCATCTTCAAAGTTTAAATATTTCACATTTATGATTCAAAAAGAATTACATCCATTAATACTCGTTAAATACCTCTCAATTGTGTTGTGTCGTGTTATTTTGTGTCATGTCGTATCATTTTCGTATCATGTTCCAATCAATAAAAAAATATTTTTAACACAATATTTTCATGTCAAGTAAATTGCGTCGTGTCATATATCACATTTACGATAATTTATATAATACTATTTAATATTTTTTAAAAAATATAAAATACTTATTTTTTGTCTACAATACTCATTAAATAGTAATTTTTTGTCTACAGTTGCATTATTCATATTTAATTTTAATTTGATCGAACAGTCAAAAGATTCGTGTCTAGCTATAGACAGAAAATAGCTATTTAACAAGTATTGTGAGCAAAAAATAGGCATTTTATATTTTTTTAAAAATTTTAAAAATATTTTTTTATTGATTCGAACATGACATGAAAATATTATGACACGATATAATTGAGAGTTATTTAATGAGCATTAATAGATAGAGTTCTTTTGGGATCATAAATATGAAATATTTAAACTTTGAGAGTGCAATTTACAATTAACCCAAATTTTTTAACGGTCAAACTCAGGTGCACATTGATACGAATTTATGTATTTCAAGGTGTAAACTAATATTTTTAAACTTTGAGGGTGCAAATTAAAATTTGAGTGATCTTTCAAGGTGCATAAATACTTTAACTAAGTCACAAACATTAATTCTTGATCTTATAGATCATATTCAAGAATTAGTAACTAAAAGAAAGGTTATTGAGCAATATCTGAAAATAACTCCAGAAGATAAGAAACTCTCTCTTGCACTACCTTATTCTTTAAAGGAAGTTTTAAACAGATCTAAGACTGATAATTGAAGAAAATGAATCTTTGTTGCAAGACCTTAAAAGAGAAGCTAATCAACTTAAAATTGAGATAAAAATAATAAAACAAAGACTTCTAGCATTAGAAAAAATGTCAATTATCCAAAAGGATGCTGAGGGTTCAAAAGAGTTAAACTCTTCTAATGAATACGTAAACATAATAGAAAAAATAACTTTTAAAAAATGGTAAGTGAAAATTATACTTGTAATAAATCCAAAATTCACTGTTGAAACCATTGCGTTAATCGATAGCAGAGCAAATATGAACTGCATTAAAGANAATTGAGATAAAAATAATAAAACAAAGACTTCTAGCATTAGAAAAAATGTCAATTATCCAAAAAGATGCTGAGGGTTCAAAAGAGTTAAACTCTTCTAATGAATACGTAAACATAATAGAAAAAATAACTTTTCAAAAATGGTAAGTGAAAATTATACTTGTAATAAATCCAAAATTCACTGTTGAAACCATTGCGTTAATCGATAGCAGAGCAAATATGAACTGCATTAAAGAAAGATTAATTCCTATAAAATGCTTTGGGAAAACAACTCAGTCATTAAGTACAACTAATGGTTTAAAATTAAATATAAGATTTAAACTTTCGAATGTTTACATCTGTAATCAAGGAATTTGTATTTCTACCACCTTTATGCTTATAGCAAATTTAAATCAATTAGTAATTTTGGGAACATCATTCTTATCTATGATTGAACCTATAGAAAAAATAGACTCCAAAGGAATTTTAACTCGACCACAAATAAAAATGATAAATCAAATGAAAGAGAATCAAATAAATTTTTTAAAAGAAGACATTAAAATCTTAAGTATATCTGATAAACTTAATACTCATGAACATAGTCGTTAGTATCGTACGATATTCGATACGTATCGTACGATACGTCACGACACAGAGGTAAAATGATACGAATCGGAGTTTTGTATCGTTTTTGTATAATATTGTCCGACACACGATACGTTTTTACGATACGATATGTATTGACCGATATGAACGATACTTGAAGTCTCTGTTTTTATTTTTTTTTTATTTGGATGCACGGTAAATCAGCAAAAATAAAGATGAAGAGAAAAATTATTAGTCCACCAAACTCACAAATCAGCAAAAATACCCAAGCAAAAGTAAAGCAAATAAATTTTTGATACTGAAAAAAATAGCAACACTGACCTGTAAATTTCAGATGAAATTCTATGTTGGTTTCTTCAGATGTTAGAAAATACTTCTTTTTTCTCACAGAGGTCCATTACAAAAAATCCTAGAAAATTGAAAACCCATCGAAGAAGTAGATCATCCAAGACCATTGAAGCAGAGAGACACTCTGTCTCATGATCGCTTTATCTCACGATCTCTTGTCTCACGATCGCTCTCGCGATCTTTCTCTCTCTGTCTCTCGATCACTCTCACGATCTCTCTCTGCCTCTCGATCACTCTCGCGATCTTTACCTCTCTCTCGTCTTTTTTTTTCTAATCAGGCGCAGTCTCTTCTTGGTCCCTATGTTTTAAAATAGGGAGAATTACGCTTAGACCCCTTAAGGTTTATTACTTAATCAATTAAACCCTCTAATATTTAAAATATTACATATAGATCCCCTAAAATTTATACAAGCGTAACACTTACACCCCTGCTATAAATATATCTGTTAATAAATTACATCTAGACACCCCAAAGTTTGTAAACATATATTTTATTATTAAAATTACACTGTATCTTAAGACATACGATACGATACACTATTTTTTAAAAATGATACACCTTTCTATACACAATTTGACAACTATGCTCATGAATTTAAGAGNACGACATACGATACTATACACTATTTTTAAAAAATGATACACCTTTCTATACACAATTTGACAACTATGCTCATGAATTTAAGAGTAAATTAAAAGAAATTGAAAATAAAATAACCAAGGAAATATGCAATATTATTCCTACTGCTTTGTGGGATAGAAAAAAACATGTGGTAACTCTTCTTTATATTAAGGAATTTAATGAGGCAAGGTCAACACAAATTAATAAAGAATATTTGAAACTTTGTAAAAGTGAAATTGATTCATTAATAAAAAAATCCTTAATTCGTAAAAACTACTCTCCTTAGAGTTTTGCGGCATTTTATGTTAATAATAATGCAGAAAAGGAACAAGGAGTTCCTAGATTGGTAATCAATTATAAACTTTTAAATAAGATGTTGCAGTGGATTAAATATCTCATATCTAATAAGAAGGATTTATTATCTCGATTATATAACGCTAAGATTTTTTCTAAGTTTGATCTAAAATAGGATATTCGCAGATTCAAATTGCTGAGAAAAACAAGTATAAAACTGTTTTCAAAGTACCTTTTGATCATTATGAATGGAATGTTATGGCTTTCGGACCTAAAAATGCCCTATCAAAATTTNCAGAGGAAAACAAGTATAAAACTGTTTTCAAAGTACCTTTTCATCATTATGAATGGAATGTTATGGCTTTCGGACCTAAAAATGCCCTATCAAAATTTTAAAATATTATGAATGACATATTTAATCCTTGTTATGGATTTTGTATTGTTTATATTGATGATATATTAATCTTTTCTGATTCTATTGATCAGCACTTTAAGCACTTAAATAAATTTATTCAAGTAGTAAGAAAGAATAGATTAGTTCTTTCTGCTACTAAGCTGAAATTATTCCAATTAAAAATTCATTTTTTAGGACATTATATAGAACAAGNAATTTAAGCACTTAAATAAATTTATTCAAGTAGTAAGAAAGAATAGATTAGTTCTTTCTGCTATTAAGCTGAAATTATTCCAATTAAAAATTCATTTTTTAGGACATTATATAGAACAAGGGCGTATAGTCCTGATTGAAAAAAATATTGAATTTGCTTCTAAATTTCCTGATGAAATTAAAGATAAGAAGCAATTGCAAAGGTTTTTGGGAAGTTTAAACTACTTAGCAGATTATTATAAAAAAATAGCCCAAGGCACTGCTATTTTATATTCCAGATTTCAAAAGAATCCATCNAACAATTGCAAAGGTTTTTGGGAAGTTTAAACTACTTAGCAGATTATTATAAAAAAAATAGCCCAAGGCACTGCTATTTTATATTCCAGATTTCAAAAGAATCCATCTCCGTGGACAGATCTTCAAATGATGTCCACATTCGGCATGGGCAAAACTGAGAAGATGGACATCATCTGAAGACGCACTTCGTCCATTACTGCTGCTTTAAGCTACTCGGTTGCTAAATGAGATTTTTCTTTAAGAAGCTTTTCTTTAAGAAATTCAATGAGATTAAATCCAGTATTTATACTGGTGCTAGGAATCATTTCTTTGAAGGTTAAGTCATCATTTTCCAAGTCTTTAAGACACTCCGCTATAATTGAAATTTTTATATCAAGCGAATAATTATTCCAAAATCGGACTTGGTATTTCCTGATTAGTCTGGGATGTCCGTTGTGATTAAAGTCACAAGTAAGAGTCCACACTCAAATCCATGGAACAAAAAATTCGAGTAAGAAATTTAATTAGAGGTTTAACCTAAATTTTATTATTAAGGGTGAACTTTTTTCTTTATATAAGTCAAATAATTTTCTCATTTCAATGGATATATCCCTTCAATGGCACCGTGAGTATCCCACCAGTAGTAAAACTAGTTAGGAATCTTAATACATGTTTTTGTGAATGTAAAATGCCATGTGTCCCCTAAAGATGGATTATTATAAAGAAATGCATTATACCAAGCATCAATATAGTCGAAGTAATTATACTCTGTATAAGAGGTTTTATTAAAGTTATGGGAATTAAGATGGATTTTTAGGATCCTCTCTATTTTTATAGAATCTTTCGAATTCAATAGGATCCGTTTCTTTAAGAATATTCTCAAAATATACTCTAGTTTTATTACCGGTGACCAAAAAGACTTTATCCATGATCATAAACTGTTTCGCAATATAATATGGATCTGTCATCCAATTAATATATTCATCTTCTAAAGTCATAATACTGCTATAAGCAGGTAGAGTATGTAACTCTGTATAATTTAATTTTGGTTTGACTATTAAGGCCTCCTTTATTGATTTTTTACTTCTTATGACAGTATAACCGTCCTCATCAATCTTGTCTGTCCTTCTTTAAGAAGTTGTTTACTTACAGCTTTAAGTTGTTTAGATTCATTAAGTGGAGGATAATAAGCATTGATCTGGACTCTTCCCCCACCTCTTCCTCTTCTGCGACCTGGACCACGGTTACTACTCCGTCCTTTGTTCATAAGAAGTTAAGAACCCTACTAAAATTCCCTTGCTAGAAAATCAGGGAGAGAATTTAATTTTCCTTTAACATATTCAATCTTGAAATCGAAGACCGAAAGAATGGTCAGTCATCTAACAAATATTTGTTTAGAAGCAATGTTCTTACATCCTATTCAATAATATTTTTAGCAGAACTATAATCAATTATTCACAAAAATTCCTGATTTAGCATATCATCTTGAAATTTACTAATGCATTTAACAATAGACAATAAAATTTCTTTTTTAAAAGTAGAATAATTTAATTGAGTAGATCGTCATTTACTCGAGGTAAATCTAACAAGTAATTTTTTATTAGTATTGGGATCTGTTTGTTTTAGAATACCTCATGCATCAGTTTCAACAATCTTATACCATTTTGAATTTACCAATGAAAAACATGGTAAATATTTATCTTTAAACTTAATTTTTCTTAAAGCTTAAGTGTGAAGATATGTCCACGGAGATGGATTCTTTCAACGTCTGGAATATAAAATAGCAATGTCTTATGCTAGATTTTTACAAAAATCTGTTAAATAGTTTAAACTTCCCAAAAACCTTTACAATTGTTTCTTATCTTTAATTTCATCAGGAAATTTGGAAGCAGTTCAATACTTCTTTCAATCGGGGTTATACTCCCTTGTTTAATATAATGTCCTAAAAAAAAAATTTAAATTTGAATAATTTCATCTTAATAGCAAAAAGAACTAATTCATTCTTTCTTACTACTTAAATAAATTTATTTAAGTGCTTAAAGTGCTNTTGTTTCTTATCTTTAATTTCATCAGGAAATTTGGAAGCAATTCAATACTTCTTTCAATCGGGGTTATACTCCCTTGTTTAATATAATGTCCTAAAAAAAAAAATTAAAATTTGAATAATTTCATCTTAATAGCAAAAAAAACTAATTCATTCTTTCTTACTACTTAAATAAATTTATTTAAGTGCTTAAAGTGCTGATCAATGAGATCAAAAAAGATTAGTACATCATCAATATAAACAATACAAAATTTATAATAAGGATTAAATATGTCATTCATAATATTTTAAAATTTTGATGGGGTATTTTTAAGTTCGAAAAGCATAACATTTCATTCATAATGACCAAATGGTACTATGAAAGCAGTTTTATACCTGTCTTCCTAAGCGATTTAAATCTACCAATATCATGATTTTAAATCAAATTTAGAAAAAATCTTAGCATTATATAATCAAGATAATAAATTCTTGTTATTAGNAGGGTACTATGAAAGCAGTTTTATACCTGTCTTCCTAAGCAATTTAAATCTACCAATATCATGATTTTAAATTAAATTTAGAAAAAATCTTAGCATTATATAATCAAGATAATAAATTCTTGTTATTAGGAATGAGATATATAATCCATTGCAACACCTTATTTAAAGGTTTATAGTTAATTATCAATCTAGGAACTCCTCGTTCTTTTTCTGCATTATTATTAACATAAAATGCTGCACAACTCCAAGGAGAGTAGCTTTTACGAATTAAGGATTTTTTTATTAATGAATCAATTTCTTTTTTACAAATTTACAAATATTCTTTATTCATTTGTGTTGGTCTTACCTCATTAAATTCCTTAATATAAGGAAGAGTTACAACATATTTTTTCCTATCCCAAAAAACAGTACGAATAGTATTTGCATATTTCTTTAGTTATTTTATTTTCAATTTCTTTTAATTTACTTCTAAATTCATGAGTGTTAAGTTTATCAGACATACTTAAGATTTTAACATCTTTTAAAAAATTTAATTGATTCTCCTTGTGAATCAAATTTTCTTTTATTTGTGGTGGAGTTATGAATTTGCTAACCTTTTAAAGTAGTTAAAATTCGTTTGGAGTCTATTATTTCTATAGGTTCAATCATAGATAAGAATGGTATCCCCAAAATTAATAATTGATTTAAATTTGCTATAAGCATAAAGGTGGTAGGAATAAAAATTCCTTAATTACAGATGTAAACATTCGAAAGTTTAAATCTTATATTTAATTTTGAACCATCAGTTGTGCTTAATGACTGAGTTGTTTTCTTAAAGTATTTTGTAGANTCCCCAAAATTAATAATTGATTTAAATTTGCTATAAGCATAAAGGTGGTAGGAATAAAAATTCCTTAATTACAAATGTAAACATTCGAAAGTTTAAATCTTATATTTAATTTTGAACCATCAGTTGTGCTTAATGACTGAGTTGTTTTCTTAAAGTATTTTGTAGAATTAATCATTATTTAATGCAATTCATATCTGCTCAACTATCGATTAACACAATAGTTTTAACAGTAAATTCTAGATTTATTACAAGTATAATTTTACCACACCATTTTTAAAAAATTTATTTTTTCTAATACGTTTAAGTATTCATTATAAGAGTTTAACTCTTTTGAATCCTCAGCATCCTCTTGGATAATTGGCATTTTTTCTAATGACAGAAGTCTTTGTTTTATTATTTTTATCCCAACTTTAAGTTGATTAACTTCTCCTTTCAAGTCTTGCAACGAAGATTCATTTTCTTCAATTATCAGTCTCAGATCTGTTTAAAACTTCCTTTAAAGAATAAGGTTGTGAAAGAGAAGGTTTCTTCTCTTTTGAAGTTATTTCCAGATATTGTTCAATAGCTTTTTTTTTAGATATTGGGTCTTGAATTTGATCTATAAGATCAAGAATTAATATTTGTGACTTAGTTAAAGTATCTATACTCAATCCATTTATATCGAGAATAGCTTTATAAAACTTAGTTTGTGTTGTACAGTGTGATGAACAGGTTTTATCTTGTTCTGATTGATCTTCATCAGATGATGAATTACTTATTTCATTTTCAATATTATATTTTGCTGGGAATAATAAGTTATATAATGAAGAAGACTTAAAATAAGTGTCGGAGGATGTTAAGATGGTACAACCAGCAAATATAGAATAAAAATAAATGCATACACAAGATGGTAGCAATAGCACTAATTCAAAATAAATTGAAAGAATAGACTAAGATAATCAACCAAAAGATACTCTAGTAAGGAAGAGTGCTATGATCAACCGTCACTGAAAATGCTACGGAAAGGGATAGACTAAAATTGACATAGAATGACGCCAGGAAACAGTTATGGATATTTGTAATTTAGTTGAGCACATTCTCATGGGTTAGCAAGTGATTGTGTAATCCGGGGTTTACTCTGGGTTGGGTCCAATGCGGGCTTGCCTTGGAGAGGTTCCTCATCATGAAAAAAAAAAGACAAACATGGATTCGTAGAGCCGACCCCATATAAGTGGGATATGGTTTGGTTTGGCCTGAAAGTACGTGTCCTTAAAATCACGAGCAAAACTCAATCCTATGCAATCAATGCTTGAAGAGGTGCTCCCGCAATTTAAACCCGAAGGGAACAATTACAACCCAATATATGACTTCTTACCGTATCAAATTGCAGAACTGAAAGAGACTGATATCGGAACCAAAGGTGCAAAAGCCGTATGCTCATCCATGTCAATGCCAACACGNGGTTTGGTTTGGCCTGAAAGTAAGTGTCCTTAAAATCACGAGCAAAACTCAATCCTATGCAATCAATGCTTGAAGAGGTGCTCCCGCAATTTAAACCCGAAGGGAACAATTACAACCCAATATATGACTTCTTACCGTATCAAATTGCAGAACTGAAAGAGACTGATATCGGAACCAAAGGTGCAAAAGCCGTATGCTCATCCATGTCAATGCCAACACGGGATATGCTGTCAAAAAGCCAGGCGTATCCTGCATTATGGTTCTGAACTTAAATATACTAAAAATTCTTTAATCAATAAGTTGGAGTTCGTATCAAGAAATGCACACATCACAGCAACAAATTTCATGACATACCAGGAGGAGTACTCCAAGAGAAAGGCCAAGCAACTGAGCAGCTACTTCCCAAACTTCCTCCTGCCAGATTTAGTCTAATTTATTTCTCAAGAGAACAGTGTCAGCAACATTACTTCTTGTAAACTGAGTCTAATCAGTATTTTAACTTTATCACCGACACTGAGTTTAGACACACACGTGTAATCAGTAGATCAAGACTTCTGACATGGTATGCATGATGGACTAATAATGGAAACTCAAACCTAGCTAGCATGCTATCCGCTAAAGAAGATCCTTGCATGGAAGGAGAGATCCATACTTCCAACTAACATTATAGATATAGGAACCAAATCAACATTTCTCGCCAAGGTGCATAGATTTTGGGCAGAAGGATATACCACTCTAAGAAAGAGGACCCACCTTTATCACGGATTGAATGCATTATTAATGAGTGGAGTTATTCTGCAATCATTATATACATTGAGTATTCTGTAAAAAAGGTGTGTCAGACATGAAATCCAGAAGCATGCCATCTTTGCACTTTTCTTCAACCTTATGTTGATCCTAGGAAGCAAAGGGAATGACAATGTGCAAGTAACCAACCGTTGAGACAGTAAAATGAAGTTTAAAGCATATATCTACAACTTCCATATTCATTTCAAATTCTCATGCCTCAGACATGAAATCCAGAAGCATGCCATCTTTGCACTTTTCTTTGACCTTATGTTGATCCTAGGAAGCGAAGGGAATGACAATGTGCAAGTAACCAACTGTCAAGAAAGTAAAATGAAGTTTAAAACATATATCTACAACTTCCATATTCGTTTCAAATTCTCATGCCTCCACGAATGAAACACTGCTTATTTTCAGCACACCAATGTAAAGCTACACCATTACCCAAAGACCCATAGGTACATCCTTATTACTCACTATATATGAAGTAACAGCACTACAACAGAATAAATATAATATTGGGACATACCTTTGCTGATACCTCTCCCAGATTTCCTGAGACTGCAAAATGNAGAGCACTACAACAGCATAAATATTATATTGGGACATACCTTTGCTGATACCTCTCCCAGATTTCCTGAGACTGCAAAATGGTTTTGTATCACTCGAAATGAAGGATCTTTTAGTCCCCTTGCCACAGCCTGTTAAAATATTATCTTTACATATCCAGGATAAAATCCTTGAAGCATTGGAATCATCATCCATCATATTTCTCAGGAACTTAATCTCTGGAAATATGCATTGGGTCTCTGGAAATATGCATTGGGTTTGTGATCCTCTAACTAATTAAATGAACAAGATGTCCGAAATTAGGGAATGATGGGTGCAGGGTACAGCTAAAATGGCATTACGAAAAATACCTGTGCAAGGTTTCCAAGAGAAGCCAGTAGCAGGAAATAAACAGGATATAATGGAGTACTTAAATCAAAAATGCTGCCCAAAATATTAACAAATCAATGGATTCAGTCATTCAATTAGTATCAATTCATAAAAGTACTCATTCAGTTATTCCCAAAAACAAAAAACACAACAGAAAAAACATGTATCAGATACCTTCCTGCACTGCCAATGAAGTCTGCATACATGCGCCACTGCTTTGGATCATCGTCAAAAAGATTGCCAAACCGCCCACCTGGAAAAAATAGCAATTACTACTGGTAACATTCTAAATATCCCTTTTTTCCTTTGGGCTTGGTTGATTAATACCAACCTATAAATAAGCGCCCAACAGCACCAATACCATCCTTTGACACCCATCTACAGAAAAATTTAAAAACCAATATCTTTATCTAGTAAACGACTTTGACATTGAACAGAATGGCTCTCTTAGCCTTTTAAATATGCAACATATGTCAAAATATCAGCAAAAACAATAAAAAAAACTATATGAGTTCTTCAAGTTTGATTCAAAGGCCCATAATATGCATATGTTGTAATTTCTCTGAAGACAAACAGAAATTGCCACGAAACATTAAAAAGTAGCTGATGTTCTACCAAGAATGATGTAAGTTCACCTAATAGCAGCAGCAGAAGCAGCAGCAGTAGTTCCCGAGAAAGAGCCCACGCCAACAGCCTGCATCATTACAGCATAAAAATTAGACTGACGAAGACAAGCACAAATAAGATGTATCTTAGATGCAAGAAGAAGATAATTAAAACAACATTATAGTTCATAAGGAAAGGAAAACAAAAGAAATCAAAATGGCACTTGCCCATTAGGGAATGAAAACATCAAAATTTGACAGTGTCAAATGCATACACACACACACACACACCAGGCAAATTTCACAAGCCATTATGCCAGAATAACAATAACAGGCAACTTTTAAGCAGAAGGTACATCTTAATACAATTCAGAGAACAATATTATGAGAATTACACTACCAAAGCAAGACGATAGAATCTTCTGTAACATAACATTATGTAAGGCATACGATCCAAGAAACAATTAGAAGATTTATTAGTTTGTAAACTCACATACCCAAATGGAATTAACAGCCTGAGTTAGATTGACATGCCTTTAAGAGACTTGAAGTGACTAATNCGATCCAAGAAACAATTAGAAGATTTATTAGTTTGTAAACTCACATACCCAAACGGAATTAACAGCCTGAGTTAGATTGACATGCCTTTAAGAGACTTGAAGTGACTAATGCGTGACAGATCCATCCAGTAACATTGGTAGGGAACTGTAACAACATGTATTCCAGGTAATCATCTGAAACTGATCCTGCATCAGATGGGAAAAAAGGTTCTAATACAAAAAATTGGTAACAAATAAATGGCCCAATAAAAAACTTTGCCTAGACTTGGATATTACATTAAAATCTTCCCTGTAGATCCAACACCTCAATCCTCTTCCTCCCTATGACAAGCTAGGGATTGCGTGGGGGAGGGCAGAATGGGAGGTAGGCTTTTAGGTCAAATCACACTTAATTGACAACATTATGAAGCACTTTATCAACAATCAGCGATTCGTGTATGTCACGAGCAATGAGCCTTTTTTATTCTCATTAATAGTTATCAATTTTTTTGTTCAACTGTTATATTAGTAAACACATAAAAGCTTGAATAATAAGAAACCGGTATAAAAAGATAAAGATGATCTTGATTATCACCTGGGTAGCCTGCAGGTAATACAAAATCTTTGATAGCGTCGGGAAGCCAGGATAATTCCAGAGGGGATATATGTGAACCTTGGAACCCATTATCTTTGGAGTCACGCTTCTCAAGAAATGTCCTTAATAGCAAGTCCTCATCTAATACATACCTGGTTAACAGCACCACAATACAAAGGAAAGATTCACAGACCACAGTCTAACCAACCACTTGCAGGCAGATATACAGCATACGTGAAATTCATGAACATGCTTAACCAAGATTTACATAATTAAATATCTACACAAGCTAGAAGACGAGGGTTCAAGTTTGTTTGATCGATGTTTGCATTGCATTTTAGAAGTATAAATTCTGGTTTTAAGATCCGAATGGAGTTGCTTTTATATTTACCGAACAAAGTAAGATAAGTACTTCCAAATTAACTTAACCGAAACGTAACCAAAAAATACCTAAATTATAAAGGAACAAACATCAAAATGGACAGAAGCTATGCCAAAAAGACCTCTTGGAAGTGCCATTTCCATATCTTTCCACTAAAATCTCACGCGGTTGGCCTTCTTCCCTGTAACAAACAACCACAAGAAAACATTGAAGCAATCATGTCACAACACATACAGTAGGAGCTATTCGTTGGATTTCTTCCCCCCTAAACCCCCAAAATAGAAAAATCAAACTGAAAAATGAATTCAAGCACACGAAGCTTGGAATTCGAAACAGTACCTCCTATGTTCGGAATCTTCTTCAGCTTCTCTTCCATCAGAATTGGAATGTCGAGCTGAATCAGAAGAGGTACATAGAATTTGGATGCGCTTGAATCTCTGTCGTCGAACTTTTCGAGACGATTCAAGCCCCAAGTTCGGAACCGAGAGTTGCAAAGTATAAGACATTCGGACGAATACTAGGATTAATTAGGGTTAATGTTGGGGATGAATCGAGAAAATAGTTGCAGAGAAATTTCTCTTTCTTCCAAGTGAAAGAAAGAACTTCAAGTACAACGAGACCGAACAAACACAACCAAAGCATGAAGAAGGCTGAGGTCATAATGCATTTTGGGCATGGGTGGCTCTATCTGGCATACAAGCACCTAGATTTGCAATACAGACCCACTCCACACACCGTTTTATGTTCCTTATCCATCGAGCCCAGCCCATAAATCAGTGCCAGGCCCAGAATAGTGGTCTATATGTTTTGGGACGCATGAGACCAATCTGGTCCAATCCGGATAGGTTTTCGTCGACGTAGTGAGAAAAAATGATGTGACATCATAATACTTAAAAGAGTAGAGAAAAATTAANGGTCTATATGTTTTGGGACGCATGAGACCAATCTGGTCCAATCCGGATAGGTTTTCGTCGACATATGTAGTGAGAAAAAATGATGTGACATCATAATACTTAAAAGAGTAGAGAAAAATTAAATTTAAATTTAAATAAAATAAATATTATAATAGTCTGCAGTTTAACAAAGACTATAAAATTATTTATGGAGCACAATGTTGAGACATACTTCACCTGAACTATCCGAAAAAAGTAGGACAAAATTTTGTTAAATTTTATGTCGATAAAAATATGAGTAAACTACACGTATAACTCCTAAACTATGACATAATGTTAGTTAAGTCTTTGAATTTTTTTTGTGTCTATTGAACTTTTGAACTCTCTAATTGTGTTAATTGAATCATTTTATTTGCCTCCGTTAGATTTTCTAACAAAAAGTAACATAATTTGTTACTCACATGATACAAATGATTGGAATAAATTACACATGGCCCTCANTTTAATTGTGTTAATTGAATCATTCTATCTGCCTCCGTTAGATTTTCTAACAAAAAATAGCATAATTTGTTACTCACATGATACAAATGATTGGAATAAATTACACATGGCCCTCAAATTATGACTCTTATATCAATTAAGCTCTTAAACTTTTTTTTTTTTGTCAATTAAACCTCTAAACTCTCTAATTGTATCAATTAAACCAATTTTTTCCTTTTTGTGTCATGTTAACACATAAATGACACACTCTATCGAAGGTAAACAAAATGACTCAATTCATATAATTAGAAAATTCAAAAGCTTAATTGATGCAGATGTCAAAAAAAAATTGTCCATTGAACCTTTAAACTCTATAATTGTGTTAATTGAGTTATTTTCTCTACCTCCGTNCTTTACCTTTTTGTGTCATGTTAACACATAAATGACACACTCTATCGAAGGTAAACAAAATGACTCAATTCATAGAATTAGAAAATTCAAAAGCTTAATTGATGCAGATGTCAAAAAAAAATTGTTCATTGAACCTTTAAACTCTATAATTGTGTTAATTGAGTTATTTTCTCTACCTCCGTTAGATTTTCTAACGAACAGTAACATAATTTGTCACTCACGTAATACAAATGATTGGAATAAACTACACATGACCCTCAAACTATAACCCTTGTGTCAATTAAACACCTAAATTTTTATTTTTATTTTTATTTTTGTCAGTTGAACCTCTAAACTCTCTAATTGTGTCAATTGGGTAATTTTTTTGTCTTTTTGTGNGGAATAAACTACACATGACCCTCAAACTATAACCCTTGTGTCAATTAAACACCTAAATTTTTATTTTTATTTTTGTCAATTGAACCTCTAAACTCTCTAATTGTGTCAATTGGGTAATTTTTTTGTCTTTTTGTGTCATTTAGTCACATAAATGACACTCTCTATTGGAGGCAAATAAAATAACTCAACTGATACAATTAGAAAGTTCATGAGCTTAATTGATACAAAAGTTATAATTTGAGGATTATATGTATAATTTTCTCAAAATATATTGTATGTAAAACAAAATGACCGACTTAACCATAATATAGAGGTGGCCATAGCCTAGGTTGAAGCGAGCTTGGACTGAGCAACATTTTATGTCAGACCAGGTATAGCCAACCTGGGGCCAAGCGTGCACAGCCTAACCCCAGCCATAAGCATATCTCGTAGCCCAAGTTCAGGCAAGTCCGCCCACTGTATAATCATCACTTCACTCTTCACCTGTTTCTGCAATATAGAATATATTACAATAACTGGAAAGATATGCCAAGTTCACTACTAACTGTGTATTCTCAGACTTGTACAACTGATTGCACTACAAAATGAGAGGCTGGATCAGATCACTTAAAGCTCAAGTACTCTCACACATCCTACAATTATTTTGGCAGGACATGACTCCCATGAAAAGGTAAGAGATACTTTTGCACGAGATATGCAAAGAATTGGCAAGAAAAGATCGTTTTACGATTTATGAGCAAAAAAATCTAGGTCGGTCACACAATCCCTATTCAGTAGCAGTCTGCTTTTGTTTCTTGCGATTTTCATCCATGATTCTTTGAAACTCTTTCTCACCAGCAGCAATCAGACGCTTAACACTGTCAAAGGTTGTAAGCCTAATGCTGCCATTAAAAAACGCATGTGAGGCAAGGAAACTAAATATAATACGGAGAAGAATTATGCATCAGAAAGTGGTGAGTAATTTAAGTATAAATTTGTGGCAAGTTGATTAAGTATGATGGCAATGCAATAGACATTTGCTTGGGCGAACAGCCTACTTATAGAGGGGAATATTGCTGAACTCCACCCAAGCAAATACCCTCGCAAACTGCAACTCACCAAAAACCCAAACAGAAACAGAAAGCCTCGTCTACCTAATTGAAGACATAATAACAAACAACATAAAAGGACTTCCACGAAAAAGAAAGAATAGATTAGATATATATATTTTTTTGAACATAGATAAGATATTAGATACATATAAAGGGACGTGAACCTGCTATTTGGCAGAGTCTTCAATGCATTGGGCACAAAACCCCTGTACAATCCAACTAAACCATCATGTGCCACAATGCCTGTCTCAAAAAAATCCAAGTAAGCAATAATTAAGTAGTTGCTTGTTAAATAGATCAGAAACTCAATTCTTCAACAAATATGTACATACAAAAAAGAGGGGTTTAATGATACAAGCAAACTTCAATAAATTTTCAAAGATGACGTGCACTACTAGTAACACTGAACTGTGTTATGTTAAATAAACTCACTTTTAAAACCTTCTGGAAATCAATAAATGTGAAAGTCATCATAAAGAAGTGAACTGGTGATAAGGCCTCAAGCAGCAGATCTTACTCAAGGAATACAAAGAAGAGGAACACCAAAAAGGCTAAGTATCCTTAGAAGTCCGTTAACTTAGAAAGTAAATGGAATGATACACCATCCTCCTACAAGAAAGAAAACTCTTCTGGATATCTGCCACTTCAATACATGGAATTCAGCAAAACAGATCACCCTAATCTCAGACCAAGCATACATACCAAATGGGTAAAGCAGAATCACAAGGATCATGAGGTTTGTACTATCTTTTATGCAATGCATATTATAAACTGCAGGTCCACCCTGAGAAAGGACGTATATGTGTTTATTTGAATGTGCAAGTGAAATGCTTCCAACTTCCCACTAACCAGGAATTTTCAAATTTAAGATTATCCAGTGAACTTAGTTTACCACCGCTAATAACAACCAATATTTAGCATCAGTTCACCTGGAAAGGCNGCTTATTTGAATGTGCAAGTGAAATGCTTCCAACTTCCCACCAACCAGGAATTTTCAAATTTAAGATTATCCAGTGAAATTAGTTTACCACCGCTAATAACAACCAATATTTAGCATCAGTTCACCTGGAAAGGCATCCAAAATTGTCTTGTAAGGTGTACCCTTCATCTGCATTTGCCTTCTGACTGTGTCCAGAGGATAGCACGTGACTGTGGCAATAGTAGCTGACACCAAAGCTGTTAATAGGGATGTTTCAGTCCTCTTTTGATACTTCTCTGGCAAAGATTTCTTCACCCTGCCATTTATCAGATATCAATATTAGGATAATTTGTTGGTGTTCTTCCTCAATAAGCACTAAAACGGAATTGTTGAAGTTATTTCCCCTGGGCCCAATCCCCCTCCCAAAAAAAAAAAAGAGAAATGGTAAGGATTGCTGGAAGGGTAAACTTACAAGTCAAATACACAAAAGTTCACAGCTATGTAAGGAGCTATTCCAATAAGAGATGGTCCAAGACCATTATAGAAGGATGCAACTCCTTCCTCTCTCAGCATGTTTAAGGCAACCTGCAAATGATTCAGTAATACCCATAGTCATATTGAGAGCTCTAATTGTCATAGTTACATGTTACTATATTAGGTTAATCGAACTCACCTCTGTCATTGTGCGGTACCCGGGTTCAACAGCCAACCGTAATCTGAGGACATCTAGCGGGTATGTAACCTGTAAAGTGACAATGAGTTAAAAGGAGCAAAACTTCAGAGTGCATATATAGATACGAAAAACAGAGAACATAAAGATGGACAAGAAAGTAATAACATAAAACAATCCAAATGACACATACAATCGGTAGTGAATGTATGGATTTTTATTATCAACATATTTTTCCCGGGAGAGGGGGCACACTACACTGTATACAAACACATTGATTGCAATAGATTATAAGATGATAATTTCAGCATGTTCCTTCTATATAACTTACCAAAGTTGAAGTCATGCCAGCACAAGCACCTGCTGCTAGTCTTCCAATAACAGAGAGCTCACCATCCTTTCCCCTAAAAAGTTTCTGGAAATTGAATTGGTAAACTTAATAATCCAATGTCTCAAACAGATTAATTTCAAAAATGCACATTTAAATCGTTCACATGAATTGTTTTGTTTTTTTGAAAGTGGTTTCACAATACCTTGTAGGTTTCATAAGCAAACAGCTGGACGGCACTATAGGGTATTATGCGTATGACCTGAAAAGTTGAAAATGAAATATGTGATGGATAGAACTCAACAGAAACCTTATTTGAATTACAAGAAAACACTACTCATCCATGACATTCAGAAAGTGAATGATGCAAAGACCTGAGGAAGGTTGCCCTTCCAGTACCCTTTAATTCCTTCTTCCTTTCCTATCAACGTAATTGCCTGCAATTTATAGCCAGGTATACACCATCAGTGTGGTGCATGAATACCCTATCACTAAACCTCAACCTACCATGTAAGATGAAACGAGTACAAATACAGCAACCTAATATATCTGTGCAACAATGTATAAACCACTGATGACTTGCCATATATGACTGAAAAGAAAAGCTAAAAAGAAACATAAAAGATGTAATACAACCGGCATTCACACACAAGATAATTATCAAGACTAGCCTTTATACACCTGCAATATATTTTAATTTCTCTTTATGATATTTTAGATTTACTTTACCCCATTGTGCAGCACAAGTGCATAAAATACCTTTCCAGGAAAAAAAAAAGTAGCTGCATAAAATATTAAGTATGTCTGCTAATGAAGATTTTCAAAGGGGAGATAGAAGCCCAACTACCACAAAATCTTTGAAAAAGGTGAGATAAAAGCCCAACTACCACAAGATTTCTGCTAAGATTTCAAAGGTGAGACAGAAGCCCAACTACCACGAAACCTTTGACAAATATTCATAAATCCAATTACTCTTTAATATAGGAATGATTGGGATCTGAAACCAGAAGCTAACTAAGCTTGATTAAATCATTAAGCGAATGGATCCATAAAGGATCATGAACTAAAGTATAGTTAAAGTACGATCTCAGACAAGAACGATATCTCGATGATGGATTTTCATTACCTCCTCCAGAGTTCAAGGCTGTAAATTTCTTCCACTTATTATGACTATCAGATTGTGGTATTCTCTACTCAACTCAATCCATCAATGGCATTGCAACAGGAGAAAAATGAAGGTGAAAGATGTCTACACTTCAAAATCTTCATAAAGATTAAAAGGGTTTGCACAAGACGTGCATCTTTCCCCTTTCAATGTTCACAAAACATAAATGCATATATACTTTTTACTACTTTAAAAAAAGTTCAGGGAATCTGTGCCTAGCATTTAGGCTCAACAAAGATACTTAACATGAACCAGATACCTCAATGAACCCAATACTCTTCTTAGCACTTTCTTGCCCAGCTCTCAATCCATGAGTCTGCAAAAAGATTATTTTGGTCACTACAAAGCAAAATTTCTGGAAAGCATAAAACAGAAAGAAGAAGAAGCACAATTCCTGATTAAGCTAACAAAAGCTTGTTGACATACAAACCTTGCTCCAGACTTCAAAAATAAAAACAGAAAAAAAGGTATAAATACCGCATTTGCATGCAGTTAAACAAAGTGGACCTGAATGCTGATTCTTGAAATTTCCAATGAAGCTAATTTACAAGTCTAGTCTACAATTAATATTTTACATGTTAAATGAGTAAGAATTATGAAGACCAAAAGAACCAAAAGCCTAAAGACAAAGAAGCTTTGCCATGCAGNCAACTTTAAAAAAAGTTCAGGGAATCTGTGCCTAGCATTTAGGCTCAACAAAGATACTTAACATGAACCATATACCTCAATGAACCCAATACTCTTCTTAGCACTTTCTTGCCCAGCTCTCAATCCATGAGTCTGCAAAAAGATTATTTTGGTCACTACAAAGCAAAATTTCTGGAAAGCATAAAACAGAAAGAAGAAGAAGCACAATTCCTGATTAAGCTAACAAAAGCTTGTTGACATACAAACCTTGCTCCAGACTTCAAAAATAAAAACAGAAAAAAAGGTATAAATACCGCATTTGCATGCAGTTAAACAAAGTGGACCTGAATGCTGATTCTTGAAATTTCCAATGAAGCTAATTTACAAGTCTAGTCTACAATTAATATTTTACATGTTAAATGAGTAAGAATTATGAAGACCAAAAGAACCAAAAGCCTAAAGACAAAGAAGCTTTGCCATGCAGACTATGCCAAGGGATGTGGATTGGACATTTATGAAACTGTATCTGTGATAAACCTATTCAATCAATATCCCAATCAACATGAGATGTTCACTTCATGAATCACTAAATCTATATTTCTTCATGTTTCCAACAACTTGCATTTGTGACTAGGCTTTTGCGGGTTCCTCATTCTCATCTTGTTTCTATAAGAAGCCCCTATCATCCAACAAAGCAAACATGAAAATGACCCATTACAGAATTAATACATATACAGGCTAACACATTTGAGAGATCCTCTTACTGATGCTCCTAGTGGAATTCGAAAGGTAGAGGCAGTAATGGAAATTGTAATGGTGATGTCATCATCACTTTGAAAGTCATGGAGCCCTTAAGATATTATTAAGTGAGGTGGTGGCTGTGACAGCAGAGGTGATGGTGCTGGTGGTGGTAATTCACTAGAAAAAAAAAATATATATATATATATACTTCTGGCGCTTTCCAAGTGCTACCTAATCTGTCCTTTTTAGCAAGTAGAGTTTGAAACAAGCTGCATTATTATTTTGCTATCACGAGGTAGACTGACATGGTCTTCTATATTCAGCCGTTGATTTTAAGGATTGATTGTAGCAAGTGTTAAGGAAGATTGGACTAATGTGAAACATATGGTCATGGATCAAATTGTAAGACGGTTTAAGCTTGAATTAATGGGTAGATCGCTTATAACAATGGTTAGAACAGTTGATGCAGATGCTGTTGAGTGCTATATATAAATAAAAAGAAATTGACAAGTATTTGAGCATCAAATTCAAGTAATAAGGCCCAAAATTAGGGGAAAAGAAAAATAGAAAACGAAAACCTGCATTAGAAGCTTAATACGGTCGAGAGGCGCAGTGACGGACTTTGCAGCGGCACCGGCAATTGCGCCGGCGGCGAACAGCGCCGCATCTTTAGGAACCAAAGCAACCAAAGCTAATGGATGCTTCAGGAGCTGCGCGGTTGTTGGCTGCGCCACCAACTCTTTCTTCTCCGCCAACGAAACACAAGCAAAATTACCACTACGGAAACTAACACTATCATTGCTAGTACCAAGCCATTTGTGTGGCCAATGGTCTTCGATTCTTGTCGGTTCGAGACCAGGAATGTCTCGCCAGACCAAAGTTGCTCGGTCCTTTTTCATTTTTGTTGAGATCTGAACTTTGAACAGAGGAAAACTGAGAAGGCTTTGGTGTTTCCTCTGTTCAAAGAAGATAAGGTACTCAGACGAACAGAAATACGTTACAGAGAGAAGGAAGAAGACAAAGGGAACGGAATCGAACGCAGAGTTTGAGTTTCAATCCGTTCTGCTGCTGTTTGTTTTGGGTTACGGGGGCCAATTTGTCTGTGTGACACTGACACGGGATATTTCATTTACTTGTATGTTGAGTTTTTCTTACTTGTATAATGGGGTAATCAAATGTGATTAATCAACCTAACCTTTCTTAATTATTAAAATAATATCTTGTTGAAGGTGTTTTCAAAATAAAATTTTTGTGTGCAAAACTTGTATAAATAATAGTGGAATAAAAACATTTACTTATCTTAAAGGAAACATTATTGATGCAGCATGTATAATAGAAGACTACATGACAAATCAAGATCATCAAAAACAAATGTTGATGGGGTACTAATTTTGGACGATAATATCAAAAAATCTAATAAGACCTCATTTTGAAAAGCTGTCGGCAATCTGAATAAGATTGGCATTCAAACCAATTATTTTTAGCCAAAAAATGATGTTTATAGCATTTTTTTTTAGATACTTTCTTTTTTTATCTTGATATTTGGAGATTTTTCATAATATTGTGTATTTACTTAATATTTCTAGTATTTATATTGTGTTAAAAATTTATTCAGCAGGTTTTGGTTTATTTTGAATACAATTCAAATATGAGTTCTCTTTCAATTTTCAATTGAGTTTTTTTTTTTAGAAATCAACAAAACCCTTGAAGTTTGTAATATGATATTATTCTGATAATCAATAAATTATAATTTTTGTTATTGAATCTCGTTTCTTTATTCATACCTTCTTATATCAATTATGCACAATGACCCAAAATACAATGTCGCACCCTTGCCCAGGCGAGAGGGACGATTGATGATACCCTTTGAATGTGAGTTGTTGCCTACTAGATACAATTACGCCAACATGGTGCGTCCATCATAAGTGAACAAAACAGTTTAGTCAACGGGGAAGACAAAATTATATTCTATTATGTTTATTTGGCTTTGCATTTAAAATTTTGAAGTGTTACAGAATTAGAATTTCATAATTAGTATTTGATTATATTCATTCACCACAAAATTTGAAGAAGCAAAATTTTCAACTTGTCGCAATCAATAGTTCAAAAAATCAATTATTGTCGAAACATGATTGATAAAATCGTGTTCCTTTCTTTGGGATTTGATAATTTGTCCCGCTTTCTTTTGGTTCTATTGGCTTTTTAGTTACACAATTTCTTATATAAAACAGAATACGTAAGTCAAAGACTCTAAATATAGCATCAATTAATAAGCCCACGATACTAATAGAGGTGACTTTAACTCATCTCAATCTTGTTGTGCAACCCCTCCTTCACGTGTTGTTGTCCTAGACAACAATTTTTTAAAATGATTTATGGGCTGAGTTTGAACAGCCTTTGATACTCGACCACGAACAACAGTTTTATTTTGAAAATTATTTTTTTTTTCACTTATTTAGATGCGCTAATGAAAAATATGTACAAAAAGTTCAACTTTACTTTTGAAGATTGGTTTATTTTCAGAGCATAAGGCTGCTAACAATAATTCTTCGACAAGCATCCAATAATCACACTTTGGGGTATATAAAGTTCAATCCAACACAATTGATCGGACTATTGCACGTTTGACTGGGTCATCTTCATCAACTGAGCATTCAAAAAGGCCATGGAATTTGCAAGACTATGGAACCAAAACTGTCACTTCTCCATGAACGACTGTTGTGGGCTTTATGGTATACCAAACTTAGCTATGAACTTTAGGTGGTGTTTAGATGGTCAGGTGGGAATGATAGGCTTAGAGNACGTATAATAGAAGACTACATGACAAATCAAGATCATCAAAAATAAATGTTGATGGGGTACTAATTTTGGACGATAATGTCAAAAAATCTAATAAGACCTCATTTTGAAAAGCTCTCGACGGTCTGAATAAGATTGGCATTCAAACCAATTATTTTTAGCCAAAAAATGATGTTTATAGCATTTTTTTTAGATACTTTCTTTTTTTATCTTGATATTTGGAGATTTTTCATAATATTGCGTATTTACTTATTTTTTCTAGTATTTATATTGTGTTAAAAATTTATTCAGCAAATTTTGGTTTATTTTGAATATAATTAAAATATGAGTTCTCTTTCAATTCTCAATTAAGTTTTTTTTTTTTTTAGAAATCAACAAAACCCTTGAAGTTTGTAATATGATATTATTATGATAATCAATCAATTATAATTTTTGTTATTGAATCTCGTTTCTTTATTCATACCTTCTTATTTCAATTATGCACAATGACCCAAAATACAATGTGGCACCCTTGCCCAGGCAAGAGGGACGATTGATGATACCCTTTGAATGTGAGTTGTTGCCTACTAGATACAATTACGCCAACATGGTGCGTCCATCATAAGTGAACAAAACAGTTTAGTCAACGGTGAAGACAAAATTATATTCTATTATGTTTATTTCGCTTTGCATTTAAAATTTTGAAGTGTTACAGAATTAGAATTTCATAATTAGTATTCGATTATATTCATTCACCACCAAATTTGAAGAAGCAAAATTTTTAACTTGTCACAATCAATAGTTCAAAAAATCAATTATTGTCGAAACATGATTGATAAAATCATGTTCCTTTCTTTGGAATTTGATAACTTGTCCCGCTTTCTTTTGGTTCTATTGACTTTTTAGTTACACAATTTCTTATATAAAACAGAATACGTAAGTCAAAGGCTCTAAATATAGCATCAATTAATAAGCCCACGATACTAATAGAAGTGACTTCAACTCATCTCAATCTTGTTGTGCAACCCCTCCTTCACGTGTTGCCGTCCTAGACAACAATTTCTTAAAATGATTTATGGGCTGAGTTTGAACAGCCTTTGATACTCGACCACGAACAACAGTTTTATTTTGAAAATTATTTTTTTTTTCACTTATTTAGATGCGCTAATGAAAAATATGTACAAAAAGTTCAAATTTACTTTTGAAGATTGGTTTATTTTCGGAGCATAAGGCTGCTAACAATAATTCTTCGACAAGCATCCAATAATCACACTTTGGGGTATATAAAGTTCAATCCAACACAATTGATCGGACTATTGCACGTTTGACTGGGTCATCTTCATCAACTGAGCATTCAAAAAGGCCATGGAATTTGCAAGACTATGGAACCAAAACTGTCACTTCTCCATGAACGACTGTTGTGGGCTTTATGGTATACCAAACTTAGCTATGAACTTTAGGTGGTGTTTAGATGGTCAGGTGGGAATGATAGGCTTAGAGTTTTTTTATTCTTTTTAATCCAACTCAATCCCACGCAATCTTTTTTTTTTTTTTCTGCCAAGAAAAGGGTATTATATTATTTAAGAAATCTTCGTTCTATCCCAACCCTTATCTTTGAGGACAATGTTCTTCGGAGACCGGCTAGAGGTTTGTTCACCCATAGATTTGACAAAAGACCCCTTTTTTAAAGATTGGTTGATCTCTTCACATATCTAGAGATGATTTTTGGGATGCTGGTTGCATAGCCCTAATACCATCATATCCTTAGACAATTATTACCTTACAATAGTCTTTTTATGAGAAATTTCATTGGGCCCAAATTTTATCCACCGCTTAAACAGGTTAGAAAAAAGTGAAAATTTTGGCCGAGTCGTCTTTAAGGGACTTATAATGAATTTAGTTCATTAAAAAAACTTATTTAAGGATAAATTCATTTTTAATCTTACTAATAAGTAGTTAAATCCACTATTTTTTTTAAAACTCCAAAATGTCCTTCTAATGACTTAAAAACCAATCTTCAATATTAAATCAGTTTCTTAAATAGTTATTCTTGATTCAAACTTAATGGAAGATTTTTTTTTTTTCATAAAATCTGAAATTCAAATTTAAGTTTGACATCACTACTCTCTCTCTCTCTCATTTTTTTTTGTTGAGAAGACTATGGTTAATTTAATATTGAATGGTACTACGTATATTATTATTATTTTTTTCTATGTTACTATTTTTTTTGATGATTATGCTACTATTAATATTGAATGTTACTATTTTTTTTCGAAATATCAATATTCAATATTTTTTTTGTTCACCATATTACTACTGTTATTTTTCTAAAATTTTAATATTCAATGTTACTATTTTTATTTTTAATATTTGTGTGTGTGTGTGTGTATATATATATAAGAGAGAGAGAGAAATAAATAGTCTTATTTTATATATAGATATGAGAGAGAAAATTTTAANTTATGATTATGCTACTATTAATATTGAATGTTACTATTTTTTTTCGAAATATCAATATTCAATATTCAATATTTTTTTTGTTCACCATATTACTACTGTTATTTTTCTAAAATTTTAATATTCAATGTTACTATTTTTATTTTTAATATTAGTGTGTGTGTGTGTGTATATATATATAAGAGAGAGAGAGAAATAAATAGTCTTATTTTATATATAGATATGAGAGAGAAAATTTTAANTAGTGTGTGTGTGTGTGTGTATATATATAAGAGAGAGAGAAATAAATAGTCTTATTTTATATATAGATATGAGAGAGAAAATTTTNTTGTGTGTGTGTGTGTGTATATATATATAAGAGAGAGAGAGAAATAAATAGTCTTATTTTATATATAGATATGAGAGAGAAAATTTTAATGTTTGTCAAACTGCTAAAATTTAGAAGTTAATAATTTTCAAATTTATTATAATTAAATATAACTAATGAGTGTATTTTAAACAATAAATATCAAAATAGATTTATTATTTAACAAGTTTCTTTGATTAACTTATCATTAAATAAATCCACAAAGAGGAACTGCCCTCCAAATTTCCCAACAAAAAACTCACTTAGATAAATGTCATTATTCAAATTGGATATTAACCCTACTCCACTGAGATAATCCTAATACCATTTTTACTTCCAAAACATAAGTGGAACTCACCTTAATTTTGTCCGATCTAAATATGCTAGACCCTACTCCACTGAGATAATCTTAATACCATTTTTACTTCCAAAAGATAAATGGAACTCACCTTAATTTTGTCCAATCTAAATATGATAGTTATAACTCGTGTTTGAAAGTACAATAGAACGTAAAATTTGAGCCCTAAATATTTTATCTCATTATATTAAATAAAAAATTTTCTTTCCTTCATTCTTTGATTACATCATTCAAAATTTATTTTAACTCATTCTTAAAAGTATTCACAAAATTTTCTCAAAATACATAATTTGATAAAATTCTCTCAACATATATATAAATAAATAAATAAATATATATATATTATCATGTATGAATAATATTTAAAATAAAAAAAAAGGTTAAACTGTAAATTAATTAAATATTAAATGACTGAACATATGATAAAAAGAGGTAATGTGATAATTTTAGGGAGAAAAATATATAAAAAATAAAATTCAACTTTTTATATGTTTTACTATATAGATTTTGACCCTCTTTGTCTCATTATCCTTACACCCTTAGCGTTTTTTTTTTTTTTTTTATTAAAGCAAGCAAAACAACAATTTCATTAACTAAGAAAATTGAAATTACAATTAGTCATGAGAAAAGCCTTAAGCTCGAGAGGAAAAGACCCTAACCAATCCGCTGGAAGTGAATTGTTTAATATATTGACCGTTACCCAGTAAGCAACCTTATTAAGGGTCCTAGACGACTTGTGTAAGAAGCTAAAGTTAAAAAACCTANAAAATTGAAATTACAATTAGTCATGAGAAAAGCCTTAAGCTCGAGAGGAAAAGACCCTAACCAATCCGTTGGAAGTGAATTATTTAACATATTGACCGTCACCCAGTAAACAACCTTATTAAGGGTCCTAGACGACTTGTGTAAGAAGCTAAAGTTAAAAAACCTAGCAAAGTATCTAATGTCCTCCATAATTACACTACCCTTGGCGTTCTTGGATCGTGTGAAGTTTGTTAACTTTAGAGTCTAAGGGAGTGTTTGGATTGTTAGATAAGGGTAGTTAACGAGGTGGAATAGATATATTTTATCCCGCCGTGTGTGCCTGTATTAAGGAGATTTTATGTGTCAAGCAAAATTCTCCACGCACAACCTTGATAACTTTCCCAAGCAAATTTTTATTTGGAAATAAATAATTAGGAAAAAAATACATATTGCTCACAAAAACGCGAACCCGGGGACCGATTGCCCAAGAAATTTTTTTGCACTCGTCGATTATATTTCACCACGGTTGTTCTGAAACCAGTCCCAACATACACTAAAAACAATACATTACCCAAGCCAGCATACAACATAATAATACACAAGAAAGAATACATACAAAAGGCGCGAAACAAGTACAGCTAGCAAGCAGCAGCAGCAGCAATCACCGCAGCATTGCACCTCAACAATCGAATTGTAACTCCTATGATGTATGCCACTTCTCCAGAAAACATCACACAAAACTAGGCCTCAAGCATCGAAGAATCAAACTCATCCCAATGGCAAAGATAAAACTCAGTGCTCCAAAAGATCTAGTTAGATGCATGTTCTTGGAGACAATGTACGGTTCAAGTGGAAAGCTGGAATCTGCCACTCGGCTTTTTTCTTCTCCATCCCTAAAAAATTACAAGATAAAGAAAAATAAANTGTGATGTATGCCACTTCTCCAGAAAACATCACACAAAACTAGGCCTCAAGCATCGAAGAATCAAACTCACCCCAATGGCAAAGATAAAACTCAGTGCTCCAAAAGATCTAGTTAGATGCATGTTCTTGGAGACAATGTATGGTTCAAGTGGAAAGCTGGAATCTGCCACTCGGCTTTTTTCTTCTCCATCCCTAAAAAATTACAAGATAAAGAAAAATAAACTCAAGTTCAGGCTAATACACCCAAAAAAATAAAAAAGAAGAGTAGAAGTATAACTTACAAAAGCTGCATAATACACGAATGTCAGCCCTGCTAGAGTAATGAATGCAATTTGAAACACATTGTACCTGTGGTGGAAAAACCAATATTATGACCGCATGATATTAAGTCTCCTAATTATAAATCAGAATATAAAAAAAAGAACTCTCTACTGACTTGTACAAATATTTTATTCCACGAAGGGATTGCAAGGTGTGCCCAAATATTTCTTGAGCAGCAGTAGCTTGGGCATAGTATGCAAATGCAGTGGCGCAGAACTGAATCACACTGCAAGCACAAAAACAAATCACGATCACAAGTTCACAACCTAAAGTGACTGTTAGAGTTCTTATTTATACTATTAGTAGTGTAGGGTAATATTGTAATTTTCCTAATGTCAGTTTGCTATAAATAAGAGAGTGTAGGGCAACATAGCCAACACAACTGATTATTTCTCTCAATCTCTTCCTCCCTTCTTCTCTTTCGTAAACCCTAATATCTACTTTTTCGTTTTAACTGTGACCAATAGGTCCAATACAAAGGATTCCCGAACCACAGACAGCAAAGTTTTATCCTTAATAAAATTACTATGCACTGTATATGCATCCCTGGTGCTGGGATGCATCCCCTTTTTTGGTGCACCTTAGTAATTTTTTTTCATAAACCAAACTGCAACGTTACCACCATTGACCCGAAATTTACCCTTTTTGAAAATAACTTATCAAAGCTAATCATAATAAATGCAAGGATGACGACTGTAAATGGTTTATTTCATGAAGAAACTTCCACAAGAATACAATGCTAATCACTGGTAAAACCAAAGCTAAAAATTAGATGAACATAGGGTCTGTCAGATTGTCACCAACCTCAATAAACCATGGGTCGACTGACAATAATTTGCCAAGCATGATTTCTTGAGTTGCCAAGCAAATAACTCAAAACAAGGTTTTAAGAATTGTCACGCAAATAACAATTGCATTTTCTACCAACCTAAATTGCCACCCCATGATCAAGTAAATGTGTGCTACTTTTAACCCAAGCATAGAAATTGTTACAGTTCCAATAAAAATAAATGCAATATCAAGATACCAACCTAATAGAGCAAAGAAGAATGAGTCCCACATTAAAGAGAAACGAATTCATTAATGTAGCCCCCCACCTGTAAAATTGGGTCAATCACCAGAAAGTGTAAGCCCGCCAATGACCATAAAAAATCACATAGAAGTAAATAATATAACAATATTCTGAAACCACAAAAATCATTACTTCANGGAGCTATGAAGCACGGATACTTCAAAAGGGTCAAAATATCCGTATTGGATACGGATATGTACTAGATATGTTTGAGAAGTATCCTAAAATTAAAAGAAAAAATTTGATTTTTGGATACGAGTGGGATACGCTTAAGGATACAGCAGGGTATTACTCGAATTTTAAAAAAGTATAGGGACACAAGAGCAAATATATTTAGGCNGTAGCTATGAAGCACGGATACTTCAAAAGGGTCAAAATATCCGTATTGGATACGGATACGTACTAGATATGTTTGAGAAGTATCCTAAAATTAAAAGAAAAAATTTGATTTTTGGATACGAGTGGGATACCCTTAAGGATACGGCAGGGTATTACTCGAATTTTAAAAAAGTATAGGGACACAAGAGCAAATATATTTAGGCCCTTATTTGCAAAAAAAAAAAAATTATTATGAAACCCTATCTTCTTTTATTCCACCGCCCCCCCCCCTTCGGTCGACGATCGACGAATCCTCTCTCTCACTCACTCACACTGACGATTAACTGACTGTATTTGACGTCGGGTAAGCTCTCTCCTCTCTCTAGCCCAATCATGAATATTGAATCAATGATCATCATCTTCCCATTCTACAAATATATGGATGGATGTTCTTGTGCCCCTCTCTCTCTCTCTGATCTAATGGGCTTTTCTTTACAAACACGATTCTGCATCTCTACAACCTTGCGCATGTCTTTCTCTTGCCACTAATTNTTATTATGAAACCCTATCTTCTTTTATTCCACCGCCCCCCCCCCTTCGGTCGACGATCGACGAATCCTCTCTCTCACTCACTCACTCACACTGACGATTAACTGACTGTATTTGACGTCGGGTAAGCTCTCTCCTCTCTCTAGCCCAATCATGAATATTGAATCAATGATCATCATCTTCCCATTCTACAAATATATGGATGGATGTTCTTGTGCCCCTCTCTCTCTCTCTGATCTAATGGGCTTTTCTTTACAAACACGATTCTGCATCTCTACAACCTTGCGCATGTCTTTCTCTTGCCACATATTACATTTCTTACCAAGTCTTCTACACAATTTTGGGACATCCTAAAATATTCACTTTTCATGGGTTCCATATTTAATAGCATGGTCAGTGTTTTTTTAATGGAGATATGACAATACAGACCAATCTGTAACAGTTAGCATATAAAACCACTAAACTGTCATCTCTTTTGCCTTTTATTAGTGATTAGCTTAGCACTCCTTTTGAGCCTTGAATTAGGGTTTGCAATTTAGGGGATTTTTTGGGGCCTTGAATTAGGATTTGTAATTAGGTTTTTTTTTCTTTTGGAGCAATTTGGAGAACAAACTATACATATACAGATATATTATTCAACAACTAGGGCTTTTTTTTGGGCCCTTGAATTTTACTGCTACTAATTTTACTACACTACTGATTTATTTTATTAAATTAATAATTATAGGGGAATGAGTACGAGTAAGGAAAGTATGGGCTCAACTGGTAGAGGTGGAAGTGGAAGTAGCAGCGCCACTCAAGATGATAATTCTCCACTTTGGGGTTTTGTTACTAAATTAGAATAGAATGGAAAAGGAGGTGGAAATACTAGATTCCAATACAATTTATGTCGGAATTAGTATAGTGGATCATATTTTCATGTGAAGGCACATTTATTGAAAATTTATGGTCACGGGGTTAAAATGTGCTCTAAAGTGACTCCCCAAAAACTTATTGAGATGCAAAGGTTAATTGAAGAAATAGAGAATAGAGTTAAAATGACTATGTCAAAGAAAGTTCCTTTGCCACCTTTCTCTTTCGAGGCCCCTATAACTAGTAGTATGAGGATATCAAAAATTGGAACACTTAGAATGGAAGGTTTTGAACCAAGAAAAAAGAACGCGACTGGAACTAGTGCTTTGGAGAAAGCTTTTAACTTGGGTACTCAGGAAGAATTGCACTCTCACATTGCACAAATGTTTTATTCAGGTGGCTTGCCTTTTCATTTAGCTAGGAACCCATATTATGTGAGTTCTTATACATTTGCTACCACTAACTTGATTACTGGTTACAATGCATTGAGGACCACGCTACTTCAAAAGGAAATGGCACATGTAAAAAAGTTGTTGGAGCCAACTAAATTGTCATGGAAGGAAAAGGGAGTAAGCATTGTTACAGATGGATGGACTGATTCACAAAGAAGACCTTTTTATCAATTTCATGGCTGCATCAGAATCTGGGGTAATATTCTTAAAAGCTGTCAACTGCGAGAGTGAGATCAAAGATAAGTTTTTATTGCGAACTTAATCAATCAAGTAATTACAGAAGTTGGACCTCAAAATGTGATTCAAGTAATTACTGATAATGCTCCTGTTTGTTATTTTGCTGGATNGTAATATTCTTAAAAGCTGTCAACTGCGAGGGTGAGATCAAAGATAAGTTTTTATTGCGAACTTAATCAATCAAGTAATTACAAAAGTTGGACCTCAAAATGTGATTCAAGTAATTACTGATAATGCTCCTGTTTGTTATTTTGCTGGATTAATCATTCAAAATGAGTTCCAACATATCTTCTGGACCCCATGTGTAATGCACACATTGAATCTTGCCCTTAAGAATATTTGTGCAGCAAAAAATCTTGAGAAGAATGCAGTTACTTATGAGGAATGTCACTGGATTATAGAAGTTGTTAAAGATTTAGTAACTATCAAAAATTTCATCATGAATCATTCTATGAGGTTATTTATTTTCAATAAGTTTGTGCCTTTGAAGTTGCTGTTGCGGACACTCGTTTTGCATCTGCTATTATAATGATGAAAAGATTTAAACTCATCAAGCATGATCTTCAAGCAATGGTAATTAGTGAGAAATGGTCTTCTTACAAAGAAGATGTTGTGAAAGCAACATTTGTGAAGGAAAACATCTTGAGTGACATTTGGTGGGATAAGATAGATTAAATACTTTCTTTCACATTGTCCATTTATGAGATGTTGAGGGTTTGCAATCCAGACATACCATGTCTTCATTTGGTTTACGAAATGTGGGACATAATGATTGACAAGGTGAAGACAACTATATAGAGGCATTATGAGAAGCCAGATAATGCAAGGTCAATCTTTTATGATATGGTACATCAAATTCTAGTTGGGAGATGGGCAAAAAGTACACACCTCTTCATTGTCTTGCACATTCCTTAAATCCAAGTTGACANTACAGACATACCATGTCTTCATTTGGTTTATGAAATGTGGGACATAATGATTGACAAGGTGAAGACAACTATATAGAGGCATTATGAGAAGCCAGATAATGCAAGGTCAATCTTTTATGATATGGTACATCAAATTCTAGTTGGGAGATGGGCAAAAAGTACACACCTCTTCATTGTCTTGCACATTCCTTAAATCCAAGTTGACAACTTTCTTTTTAGTTTTTACTCTTAAATTACTCTTTTTTTTTTTGTTATCGAGTTGGTTTTGATATCTTCTATTTTTACAATATAGGTATTATAGTGCATAATGGCTAAATGAAAATTCCAATCGCGTTCCTCCTCACATGGACGAAGATATTTCATCTATGAGAAATAAATGCTTTCACATATACTTTCCGAATCCACAAGAGAGAATGAAGGCTAATACCGAGTATGCTAAGTTCTCTAGTTGTTTGGATCAATTTGGAGAGCACGACTCAAGAGTNATAGTGGCTAAATGAAAATTCCAATCGCGTTCCTCCTCACATGGACGAAGATATTTCATCTATGAGAAATAAATACTTTCACATATACTTTCCGAATCCACAAGAGAGAATGAAGGCTAATACTAAGTATGCTAAGTTCTCTAGTTGTTTGGATCAATTTGGAGAGCACGACTCAAGAGTACAACGAGGATTAACAGACCCTCTCATGTGGTGGTTTTTTCATGGGTCTGCTGCACCAATGCTTCAATCTTTAGCATTAAAATTACTTAGTCAGCCTTGTTCCTCATCTTGTAGTGAAAGAAGTTGGAGTATTTACTCTTTCATTACTTCCATAAAAAGGAACAAAATGACACTACTTCGTGCCCAAGATTTGATTTTTGCACANTAAAATTACTTAGTCAGCCTTGTTCCTCATCTTGTAGTGAAAGAAATTGGAGTACTTACTCTTTCATTACTTCCATAAAAAGGAACAAAATGACACTACTTCGTGCCCAAGATTTGATTTTTGCACACAACAATCTTCGTCTCTTATCGAGGAGGGGTAAACAATACATAGAAGGAGATACGAAACTATGGGACATTGGTGGAAATGCATTTGATTCATTGGAGGGTGCTTGGTTGCTTGAAGTTGCAAGTCTTTCACTTGATGAGCCAAAGATGGAAGTTATGTTATTCCAAGATGGAGGGGATAGAAATAAAGATAATTTTGGGGAAACGTCTTAGTAACAAGAGGGACTGTTTTGTTGCTTAACTTGTAATAGGATAATATTCCAAACTGCAAGTTTTTTGTTGCTTGACTTGTAATCAGATGGTTTCTTTTGTTTAAGCATGGACTTGATATTATGCGATATGTATGTGTTGTTTAAGCATGAACTTGATATTATGCAATATGTATGTGATATAGAATATATGATTTATGAATGATAGAATGACTAGTTATTATTATATATCTTTGATAGATGTGTGATTTACTTTATAAATCATAATTATTACATTAAATATAATAATAAAATTTTAAAAAATATATATTTTAAGGACGTATCCTAGCCGTACCCATATCCTGTTTTTTTTTTTTCCCGTATCGCCGTATCCGTATCGTATCTATATCCCGTATCCGTGCTTCATAGGTTAGGAGCTTACAAATGTAAACAACTTATAATTTTGGATTCCAAACATAGTTTTAGTGATCCATCAATATATAAATAGACATCTCCACCTCCTAAGTTTCTCTCTGTATGAGACTGGCCAGGTTATCTCACATATACAGGATCATTCATGCTTAAAGGTAAACTGCTAATCCAAAAAAAGTCTTCAAATAAAAAATTTGCTACTGAGACATGATATTGTCCTTCCAAGAAGTTAGTACTGCAAATCAAAACTTTTCTCTTATTAAATATTACTGCACACATGAAACCTGTAGCAGTTTCAGTACTCATATGAAATATATTCCAGCTTAAGAACTACTCATTGCACCAGCAAATACACCAAATGCCAAAATGTGGTTAGCCCCTTAAGCTTATTCACCCAAACCAAAGTGTGCTTTTGCTTATTTACCAAAATCAAAATGTACCTTTTCCACTGCCTTCACATTTTTACGCCATTTTCTTCCCTTGTTCCCACCCCTTTCTTCCTGATGGAGTGCATCAGCTGCTTTCTTTAATTCTCTTGCTTTTTTACCAAGTTCGGTTGCCTCCTATAGGACAAAAAAGTGAACCATTCATATGCATTTTAAATATGAAAATGAGGACGAAGTTGTTCAAACGTAGTCTCATACAAATGAATGGTGCAAAATTTAAAGGTACCTTGATATATTGTGACCGAGTGATAACAGCCTTTGGACGCCTAATAAATGAAAATATAAGTCCCAACGGCAGACAAGCAATGCCAACACCACCAAATATCTGGATAGAGCAATGGGAGGCTAAAACTTGATTATAACATCCTTGAAAAAGAACAAATACATAAAGCTGAACTCCTCATCTTACAGACAACTCTTTTCATCATTGTGGACCATAATGGAACTATACTCGTATTTTCCATGAAAACTACATATTCTTATACTAGACCAAACCCATGACGAAGTCAAGAGTCATGTTTTTCCTTGATACAAGGGGTCAACAATTATTTTGATTTGAGTCTTCTATTACCTCTTACACACATACACACACAATCAATTCATGTGAACCAAGTCAGAATTCAATTATTGCATAGGCAATTATGAGAAAGACATTGGAAATTATATTACCCTTAATCAAATAAGNCCTTACACACACACACACAATCAATTCATGTGAACCAAGTCAGAATTCAATAGGCAATTATGAGAAAGACATTGGAAATTATATTACCCTTAATCAAATAAGAAANCTCTTACACACATACACACACAATCAATTCATGTGAACCAAGTCAGAATTCAATTATTGCATAGGCAATTATGAGAAAGACATTGGAAATTATATTACCCTTAATCAAATAAGAAATCATAATGTGTAGTGTTGTAAAAATTTGAAAGAAAGAACATACAGCGAACAGTACTGATCCGACAATTGTAGCCAATGCAACAACATATTCCGGGAATGTAGAGCGCATTGTCCATGTAGTTTCCGATGAAGCACTAGCAATATATGCAGAACACTGTAAAATGCGAGACGATATGAGAAATGAGAATTAGAAGTATCAGTTCATCTTGAGAATATTTCCATGAGCAACAAGATGCTAAGCAAAACCTCAAGTAAATAAGAACTTAAAAAAGCATAGAGGAATTCAATTCAATAAACTTATTAGATTATCAACCTGGTGTGCACCGCTACCGCCAATACATTGTTGACTGCTAGAGAAGCCCCATGTACTTGGGAAGGCAGTGGTGGCTGATGAGAGGTGCCTAACAGTGAAATCCACCTTTCCAACAAGTCCTAGTACCATCATAGAGGAAAAATGGGTGAAACACAACATAAAAGTTGGAAATATGTACATAATTATTAGTTTATTACTAAAACATCAACCAAGGTTGGCTCAATCAATCATCACTTCTTAATTTATCAACCAAGGTTGGCCAAATACTCTGTGATGCATATTTGCTGGATATGTATCATTGCCAAATANGAAAATATGTACATAATTATTAGTTTATTACTAAAACATCAACCAAGGTTGGCTCAATCAATCATCACTTCTTCATTTATTAACCAAGGTTGGCCAAATACTCTGTGATGCATATTTGCTGGATATGTATCATTGCCAAATATTTCAACTAACGACATTAGGACAATCGTTTCCTCAGTAAGTGGTTGTGTGTGTAATTACTTTAAAAATTGTCACCATGCTATTGTACGGGTTTCTGCCTTCCATATTAATATATTTATATAGTCATTATATCAGTGTATTTCAATCAAAGAGGTTGCTTAACCCAGCCACTTTGTTTTGCTGACTAAGTTTGAAAATAATTAGATNTTACAAATAAAATTGTCACCATGCTATTGTACGGGTTTCTGCCTTCCATATTAATATTTATATAGTCATTATATCAGTGTATTTCAATCAAAGAGGTTGCTTAACCCAGCCACTTTGTTTTGCTGACTTAGTTTGAAAATAATTAGATTTTGATTTCATACGGATTGTTATTTTCAAGGCTTTGGNTGTCACCATGCTATTGTACGGGTTTCTGCCTTCCATATTAATATATTTATATAGTCATTATATCAGTGTATTTCAATCAAAGAGGTTGCTTAACCCAGCCACTTTGTTTTGCTGACTAAGTTTGAAAATAATTAGATTTTGATTTCATACGGATTGTTATTTTCAAGGCTTTGGAGGCTGATGTAAAAACAATTATGAAGGTCATATCATGGATTCTGTGGCCTATTTATTTTGTTGTTGTTCTTTCATTAGTTTGGCACTANGGAGGCTGATGTAAAAACAATTATGAAGGTCATATCATGGATTCTGTGGCCTATTTATTTTGTTGTTGTTCTTTCATTAGTTTGGCACTATTTCATAATCATTATTGTTGTAGGACTGGGCAGGGCTTACTTCTTTTCATCCAAATGTAAGGAATTCATTAATGTTTATATTATTAAGCTTCAAGTTAGGAGTCCTTGTTTAAATACTGAGTCTTTTCTAAATTAGACTCATCATCAATCTCATCGTCTAACTATTGATTTCGAGTTGCAAACAGTGTGGCATCTGAGATCAATTCTAACCTTGATGAGCTGTATCAAAAATTATTAAAGGAATTTGGGACAGAATCAGTGGCACGCGTTGGGAAGAGGATTTAGTATCCTTATTCAGTTTTGTTGTCCCATCCTATGTTATTATTTACAATCATTTCTTGTTTGTTATACTTTCAACAATTTTGCATATGAATTGTCAGGCAAAACTTTGCTCAGGCAATTTCAAATAACTCAAAAGAGGTATGCAAAGAGCGAAGGGACTTAAAATGCATCACATGTGCTGGGATTTTGTTCATTGCAGCTGATTCTTTGGTTTAAACTTTTGATTGAGTATCTACAGTGTGAAATCTTATTAAAGAATGAGCCTGCAAAGTTTAATGCAGTTTATGAAAAGTTTTTCTTTTCATTGTTTTTCAGGGTTGGTTGGGTCCCAGCTATTAAAGGTGAATGATGAGACAAATGAGACTTAGCATTTAGGACTTTATGAGAACTTATTGAGTAATGATGTTTGATTAACACATTTTAGCCTTTAGTAAACTGAAGTATTCTGGAGTGCATATGCATATCTTTCAAACACTATAAACCACATAATACTTCTATTATCTCGAGTTTTGCTCTAATTTCATCAATGTAACATGTCATTATGCTTTGAAGTTCTTTATGGAAACATCTTTCTTGTATTTATAGAGTGATGGGTTTGTTTTGATTTTTATTCTATTATCCACCAAGAAGGGAAAAAAAATTTATTCTATTGTTTTAAACTATATTTGAGGCTCTACAATTTTTTCGGAGATAAAATGAATACTAGCACTAGCAAAAAACTTCGTAGGTTTGGATACATAAGCTATTTTCTCGTAGTAATTGTGCTAGCGTAATTCATTTGGGAAAGTCTAACTGATCCGAGAAACTAACCAGGGAAGAACTCACTTTTTTAAGCTCGAGCAAGTTTAGCTATTGTGTTATCTTTATCTGTTTATTTGTGATTTGAAATGAGTTTAACATAGCTAATATTTGGTGGTTTAATGCTTTTACAGTGGAAAATTAGGTCGTCAAACCAAAAAACTTCTCCATAGAAATCATGAGAAGCACATTTAGCTTCAAGGTACTGAAGGGTAGAGGGTCATTTGTTTTATGATGATCTAAATATTGATATATTTGATAACCTTTACAATAGTAATAATCCATATTTTATACTCAAAATGACTCGTGCAATAAAATATACATCTCTAACTACGCAAGCCCATATGAATACTAAGAAACAACAGAATTTGTGTGAAGGGGCATCCAATGCTACCACATTTTTCCTAGAATTTGAATATGCATCGCCAATAACAAAAAAAAAAAAAAAAACAGCAGCAGATTACGTTTAAAATTTATATATCATCTCCAAAAAATAGTAGGAATATTAAAAACTAACCATATAGAATGCCGAGCACTAGACCACAAACAATTGCTGTAGTTATCACCCACAACAATGCGCTTTTAATCCGTTTGCCAACACTCCTGCATGAAAAATACTAATAGACACATATAAAATGCACACAATAGATAAAAATATGATCAAACTACAAGATATAAGTAAAAATGAACGGACTTGTCCTGGTCGCCTTCGTAGTAGAACATAGCGAAAGGGATAATGAAGAAGACGAGAACAGCGTCGAGAATGTAGATAGCAAGCCAGAGATCCTTCATCGGGAGTGTGAGNGAAAGGGATAATGAAGAAGACGAGAACAGCGTCGAGAATGTAGATAGCAAGCCAGAGATCCTTCATCGGGAGTGTGAGATTACACGCGCCATTATAAATCGCGTGTTGACAAGCCTGCCGATTGGCAACATCGGCCGGCAACATCAAAATAGAGATTGCGGCAACGGAGAGGCCCAGAACGACGACGAATTTGGGGAAATAGGCCTGGTTGGCGTCGTCGGGGTGTTGGTAGTTGACAAGAAGGTAGACATTGAAGACAAAGACCAGTACGCACACGATAATGGCGACGATCACGAGCGCTAGGTTGAAATCCCCCATTTGCTGAGAGAGGTCTCTCCCTCGATTCGAATCGAATTGATTCGAACCGATTGGATTGAAAGATTTAAAGTTTCGTGGTGATGCGTGGTTTCGAATTTGAAAGGGCTTCTTTCTTAGATCTGCTTTTGGGAGGTTTTGACAGAGAGAGAGAGAGTGGTTATCTCCGGTGGCGGGTTGTCTGTGGATGGAGCTGTGAATAGGGTGGGGTTTGACTTGCAATACGAAATTACTATTTTAACCTTATAAATTCATCGATGATGAGAAGAAATGAAATTGTTGGGGGGGCGTAAAACGTGTCGGATTGAGTCATTTCGTATCCGGTTGATTTTGAGTTTATGTTAAAAATTTAAAAACTCAAATCTGACATGTTTAATAATCATATCAAAATGTATAAACACTAACCTGATCTGACCATTAAACGGGTTTACTCAAACCCGACCTGTTTGACACATTTAATAAACAGGTTGTTTTTGAGTTTACACACATAATATGATCTGTTTAACTTATTTAGAGCACATAACACAAACATGTTTAACACATATAATCTGTTTTCACACCTGTTCATTAGCATTAAATATATCATTCAATCATTTATCCAAAATTTTAAATAATTTTTTTACAAATAATATATTATATCTCATCAATGAAATTTTTTGTTTACAAATAATATATCATATCTCATCAATAATATATTCAATCATTTATCCAATATCATATCGCATTCAAGTTTCAACCAAAAAATTATCATAATAATGTTAAGAATTATACTGTCAATTACCATAGTAAAAGAAAGAACTAATAAATAATAATATTAAGACCACATCAGTCATACATAGTGTTATGTTCCTTAGTTTGCGAACGTGTGATGGGTTTATGAATAGGTAAAGAGAAAGGATCAACCTTACGTGATCGACTTATGTTGTTAGGTAAGATACGTTGAGGGATCCTTGGTCTCCAAATATGGGGAATTCGAGTTTCCCAAGAATTCCTTCGTTCAACCACATAACTTGTAAAGTTAGATTCAATGCCTTTATTCAATATTCTTATCTCTATAAATAGAGCTTAAATGTTAAAGATAAAAATTAAACTAATACTAATCTATTCCTAACTATTCGGGATTATTGCTCATCAATTCCGAATTACTAGGGACAACAAACCTATCCCTCAGTATTCTATTCAAGATTATCCTAATGCACGATAATAATCGTTTTAATAGGATTAAATAAATAAACTCCCTAGATATCCTTCCTGGACTGTATCAACTCCCCCTTTCTTAAAATTTTCCTTGTCCCCAAGGAAAAATTCAGGGAAACGAAATCGAAACTTGTCATAATTCTCCCACGTTGCATCGAATGGAGATATATGCTGCCAATGAACGAGTAATTGGGAACTGCCCTTGTGCTGTCGAGTTTCAAGGATCGCCTGTGATGTAGGAAGTAGGGGTTGTTCACTATGCAAAGAAGCTGGTAAGGCATTCTCCACTATCACTTGCTCGCCCACTTGCTTCTTCAACAAGGACACATGGAAAACTGGATGGAGTTTTGATGTGAGGTACATGCAAGCGATAGGCAACTTCACTAATTTTTTCTTTCACCTGGCAGGGACCATAGTATTTGGCAGCAAGTTTCTGGTTCCTCCGCTGAGCCACAGTCTGTTGGCAATAAGGGTGGAGTTTAAGAAACACCCGGTCGTCCACTTCAAATTTGCGTTCCATATGCTTTTTATCATAAAGA